AATTTGGTTGTAGTTTAATATTACAGTTATTTGGATAGAATGTGGGGTAATTGGAAGACTCCCAGGAGAGACCCAGAGTGGTTGTGCTTCATTCCTGCATGTTTAGAACTCACAGTATTGCAGGCGAAGCAGCTGACCAAGCAGTGGCAGAACGGCATTCTTTTCTTGTTCTGGTTGACAGCAGCTGCAGTGAAACTAAAGAACACATAGTAAGTGCTCAATAAATAAACTTTGCTAACAAGCAATTTGGTAACAAAGGAGAAGAGCCTAAACATGTCATGCACCATTTCATCCATTAATTACACATGTAGACTTATCCTAAGAAAATGCTCACAATACACATTAATACCTATGTTTTTTAAAATGTTCATCACACTTCTTTTTTGGTTGCAGTGCCTCAGGGAGAGGGGTTCTCGTCTCTGCCTGCAGCCATGCTGTCCATGGGTTCTCTGCAGTCTGTGCGGGTCTTTGGATGCAAGAAGACAGCCAGAGCCGTGGTGCACTGCACATGGAGCAATGGCCTCAGCAGAGTAAATGGGTGGCCCCTAAGGATGACCCAACCCCACACATTGCAATACAAGCTACTGTAACCTGTTCTGCTTCAGAACAAGGAGCAATTTGCTGGTGTGGATCTAAGTCTGTGTGAAGGGTGGTGGTCACGTGGTCCAGATTTATACAATCCTCCAGTTCATCTTCAAAGCTCTGGTGGTCTTTAACCAGAAACACATGGGTAAGGGAGGCTTCCTTCCAAGATCAACGAAATCCTCACCCAGTATGACCATATCTTGCCTGTAGCTGATTCCTATCGTGAATCCAAAAAGTTTGGAGGTCCTGGTTCCCACACTTGCTACAACAAATATTATGGATAAGCCCATCATGAAGATCAGGGTTCATCTTTATAATAAACAATGATGTGGGATTTAAGGTTTCAAGGACAAACAACAACAACAACAATGGCTTCCCTGCAATATTTATACAAAAACTTCTAATGTCCAACAATAAGGAAAAGGTTAAATATATTAGGTATATATATATATGATGACTTGCTACAGTGACATAAACAATCTACTCATTGTAAGTATTCTAAGCTTGGCATTTTTGTTTAATTTTAAGAAGAGATCCTTTGTACTGTAAAGTTACATTAAAAGACCAGCAAAAAGCTGACACTGATGCCTGGGGCACTGCAGACCAAGTCCTTGGGGAAATCTGAAGGCCTAAGGCCTATCTCTTTGGCTTGCCTTCTCTCACTTTACAGAGGCAGCTCTAAGTGCCTAGGAGGAAGATGTGCCCCCGTGAAGCAAGGACAGCAACAGTGACCCCACTTCCTCTTTGAACAAGGGCGGCATTACATCAAATACATTCAATGAATCCACTGTTTAGGAACTCTTACAGAGGCACTAAAAGGTATAAATGAATTCTGAATTTACCCATCCCAGCCCCAGATTTCCTATTTTCTGTGTGTGACTCTTTGGATCTCAGTCATCTTACCTATAAAATAGTAGGTTTAACATAACCATCTGTAAGGTGTCTATACTCTCTACGACAGTAATAAGATTACATGAAGGAAATTTCATGAGCCCCTAATCGCCCATCTCCCATGTTCTTAGAATGTGGTAAAATGAAGGAATCCTGTTTCTAGTTCTCCCTTTGTCTCTAATAGAAATGTGATCTTTGGATCCTTTCTCTTTAGTTTAAGCACTACATGTCATAAATTATTTAGTAATCATATATTACTTGGCATTAATCTAGAGGGCTATTATAGATGATTTTTCTTAAAACAAAGACTGATTCAGTTAATTTTATTAGTGCTTACTGTGTGCCAGGCATGAGCTCATTGTGTCCCCATAAATTACCTAATTTCACAGAAACCTAGATACTGTGAAGATGGCTTTGATCTTTAATTGTCTGAGGCTGTTCACTGAGAAAAGGCTGTAAAAAGGCTGAGCATAATCAGTATTCTTCCTCCTACATTGGTTGACTTTTTGAAGGAACCAGCCCACTGTCTTTTATATATTTGTGATATCTTCTCAAAACAGATCAAAATCTGAACTCACATAATAAATCACTCCAATGGCCTTTAGCAGTTATGTTATTTAAATTTGGTGTATTAGAATTGGTATTAGGGTCTTAAGCTGATTTCTCTCTGTTCCCTTAGTAAATTTAGCCAGAATAATTGGGAGTATTAACAAGTCTCAACTTGGAATTAAGCATGTGATTCGTTTTCTGGATAAAGCAAGTTAACTTAAGATTAGCAGAGCCTATGCGGCAATAGATTTGTCCAGCTGGCCCTCTTTTCGGGCCTGGAAGTGTATCTTTTAGTCTGCACGACCATTTGTATAGGAGCATAGGGACAGGAGAGGGCAATAGGATATTTGCCTAGTGGCTGTATGCTTGCTAGGCTGTACTTTTTTTTCAGGTTCAAACCATCAGTTAGTTCAACAAGTTTATTGATTCCACAAAGAACTCCAACTAGGGTACTGTGAATATATGCCAGGTAGAACTGAACAGAATTCACAGTCCCTGCCCCAGATTACAATTTAGTTAGGGAAGTAGCCAAACTACATGGTGCTGGCATAAGAACACTTGCAAAGAAACAAATGCAAATTCATGTCACACAAACTGCTTAAATGTTGAGAATTAGCAAGAGTTATTTCCATTTGTCCTGTGACCAATAATCAGTGATTTGTCTGTGTGTTTTCTCCAGTGGACTTAAATTAGGCCTGATCCACATGGTAATGGACTTTGTATTTCTAGCACTTATCGGTATAACTGACAAGGAGCAGACAATCCACAAATGTTGAATGAAACACTGAATGGTTTCAGGTAACTGGGTTAATCAAAGAATCACCCTACAAGTGGCATTTTCTTAAAAAAAAAAAAGCTTTTCTTCTGATTGTAAAAGTAATACATGCTCACAATGGAAAACTTGCCATTTTTTGCTACCATAAATATTGCTTCAATGAATATTTTCATCTATAAATATTTTTCTAAAAGTATTTCCTTAGACTATATCCCTAAACATGGAATTAACATTTTTAAGATTCTATAAAGTTGCCAGACTATTTTCCCAGAAAGGTTAATCATTCTCGCTAAGAGCATAAGAGCTTCTATCCCACAGCACTTTCATTACAGGAATAACCACAGAAGTCTTTTTTCCTGTTTCTTCTTTAATGAGATTAAGCAACTTTACAGAAAAATTAACTTAATATTTAAAAATAAATTATGAAATGTTCTTTCTTCTGTTACTGTGATACCCACAGGATTCTCACATAATTGTAATCAGTGAGTACATACTGCTTTGGATTCTGCTTTTTTCACTGCAGAGGATTTTCTACCTATCTATACAGTTCACACCCTGTAGTTCCTCACTGTGCTGATATATCCCAGGGGCTTGCTGATTTTCTTACTGTCAGGACTTGCAGTTACTGTTTGTACTCTCCCTGCTCTACCCTCAATTCTCCAGAGTGAAATTACTTGACCAAAGAGTACCAATCATTTTCTAACTTTTGTTACATACTGCCAAGTTGTTAGGCAAAGTTTTCTTAAAAAGGAAAATGGCCTGTACAGAGGGATTGTACACGGACCATCATTTCTGAGCAAGGCATAGCAGCCTGGCATTTTAACTGGAAGCCAGGCCAGCTGAGATTCCCCATGGGAACTTGGGAAGTCCCTTCCCCACTCTGAACCTCAATTTTCTTATCTATAAAATGAGGAATTTGGATTGAATGGATGAAGGTCTTTTTCTACCGGAAATCTAGTCACTGTTCTCCTAATCTGTTCTGTATAAGCCTCTCCTGACTTCAGAGCTCAGACTTTAGCTCAGTGCTCAGGATAAAGCTCAGCTTCCTTTCCTGTGGCTGCAAAGTCTATCAAAGTGCAATCAGAGGAGAGACAGCAGAGTGTAGGAGTTCAGAGCCCAGGCCGGTTCCAAACTTCAGCCCTGCTGCTTAATAGTTCTCTAACAAAATACTTAACCTCTCAGTGGCTCAGTTTCTCCATCTGTAAATGAGGTTAATACTAGTTCCTACGTCATTGGTTGTTATGACAATTAAATGAGTTTGTTTGTAAAATATTAAGAACAGTGCCTGGCACATTGCAAGAGCTTTTATAAAGTGTTGAATAAATAAAAAAATTTAGTATGTAAACTCTGCTTGTCTTCATACTGTGACAGCTTCTTGATCGGCGCCCGCAGCCTCTAGGCGCTTTCTCATTCCTTCCTAAAGCCCAGAGACCTGCGGCACCAAACTCTCTACTTAAAAGCCCCTTACAACTGAGTCCCAGGTGCCTCCAAGATGGAATAGACACGCTTCAGCCTCAGGCCCAGGCTCTTCACATACAGCCTCCCGGAGGTCAAGGACACTTCCTTTTCTTAAAGAATCCCAGTTAATTTAAATACAAAGCAAGTATTACAACAAAAAAGGCAAACAGGGTTGCAAAAATTTGGGGGCATATTTAACGTTATAACGAGCAAAGGTCTAACACCGCCCTCAAACCAACACACCATAATCATGTTAACAAGATAATTGCCAAGGGTTCTCAGACAGTTATTTCAGGCCACGCACCGCGGCGAGGAGGCGGCGGTTTATCAGGTCAGCGTCTGCAGACCAGCGAGGACGATCCTAGGCCAAGGACGAGGCCCCGGGGACAGCCGCTTTCCACGTCCCCTGGCCCCCAACCCGCCAGTCCCGGCGGCCCCCCAGCCACCGGCTCCCCCGCGCGCCGCTGCCTACCTCGGAACGCCAGGCCGCTCGCGCGCTCGGGGCCGCCACCCGCAGAAGCCTCCACAGGAAGCGTTATCCCGCCGCGGCGCCCCCTGGCAGCTAAAGCCGCGATCCGGATGCGGGGTCCGGCGGCAACCCCTCCAAGGAGCCCGCGAGGGGGCGCGCCCCCACAGGCCGGCAGCAGCCCGCCCGCGGCGCCTACCGGCCCGCGCGGGGCCCGGCGGGAAAGCGGGGGCTCTCTCCCCGCGCCACGCGGCTCGACCAATGGGAGCGCGCGCAGCGAGGCTAGGCAGTCCGCGCCGCGGGTGCTGAAAACCCGGCGCGCGGGTGATGGTCTCCAGGCGCGCGCTAGCGGGCCGGCTCACCTAGTACGTGTGGCTGGCGCGCGCTACGGCTCGGGCCCGGAACGCGCGCCTGACAGCCTGCGCCGGCTCGCGCGCTTTGTCGCGGGGCCGCGATGGTCCCCAAGACCCCAGCCCCGCGACCGACCTCGCGCTACTTCTCCTGGGACGAGGTGGCGCAGCGCTCCGGGCGCGAGAAGGAGCGGTGGCTCGTGATCGACCGGAAGGTGTACAACATCAGCGAGTTCACCCGCCGGCACCCTGGGGGCTCCCGGGTCATCAGCCACTACGCGGGGCAGGATGCTACGGTGAGCGCCATCGGACGGGGGCACCGGAGAAGGCGGGGCCGGACGGCCGCGGCCGGAGGCTCAATGCGCGAGACAGGAAGTTTGGCATCCGCGGCCAAACACCGACTAATTCGGGGGAAAGGCGTACGCGCCGGAGCGTACCTGTTGCCTAATGTTTAGCTGTACTGCGGGCAAGGGATGCAAGGGCAGGAGAAAGGCTGTGGAAACGAATCTGGAAAATGGGGAGGGAGGCCAGCGATGTGCACACACAGACAAAGGACCGCTCCGCCGTGCGTGCGCTCTGTCTGTGGCTCCGAGTCTGGGGTGTCCAGGCGTGGTCAGGCCCGGTCAGGCCCAGAGCTGGGCATAGGGAGGAGGGTTCTGTGGCAGGGAGACGGAGTCTCTGTGTGTCTCGGAGGCTGGGAGGGGAGGGCGGCCGCGTCTTGACTGAGCGTGCCGGAGTGAGCGAGCGGGAGCAGAGGAGGGAACTCTTGAGAAGAGGGCTGAGGCGGGTAGCACCCCGGGGCCCGCTGCCTTGGGAACCCCCCTACAGGGTTAAGGCCGGAGGGCCTGGAAGGGCCTCACCGGCCGGAGAGGGCTAACGGTTGCTGATGCACAGGGAATGGGAGCGGCATGCTGAAGGTGGGGGTCCTGCATCAGGATACACTTAGCAAGGACACCCGGAACGGCCCTCGAAACCTGTAGTGAAGTCACTCCGCCGCAGGCCAGCGGGGTTTCCAGCTGTTACCCGCAGCTGTAGGTAGTATCTCTCTTCCCTCGGCCTCACTGAGGGGTCAGCGCGCGCCCCAGCCTGGGCCCTGCTGCTTCCCTTTCTAGACCACCTGCTCTGGTACCTGGTACCTGGCGCCTCCCTACTGGGTTGGAGAGCCGGGGATGACCAGTGGGACGCAAAGGTTGGAACGTCCGCGTTGCTGCGTCCCCTTCCTCTACACACTTCTCCCCTCCGTGCCCTGCGAGCAGCGTGACCCCTTCCGTTGTTCCCCACCCTCTGCCCTTGCCAGCCCATAGTGCGCCTCTGGGGTTCCCGTTATATCGCAGCGGAGCATAGACGCTTCGGGGTGGGGACCCAACCCATGCTTTGACGGGGCCCGCCTAGGCGGCGAGGCTAGAGCCTACATACTTGTCACCCCGAGTAATCACTGGGCCCTCCAGACAGCCGGCAAAGACACCGACCAGCGCATGCGCACACGGAGCCGGCCCCTCCGCTGGGGCTTCCCGCAGTTGATTTGGGGCGGGGGCCTGCCGAGGCCGGGACGGCGATTGGTCCGGATGTGTGGTGCCACTGGCCGCCGGCTCCGCCTCGGTTCCGGCCTTGCCTGCCTCTTCCCCATAGGGCAGGGACTTGAATTTTGTCACCTCGCGTAACCAAAATTTGGGGTAGGGGGTGGTCAGAGTGCTGCGGAAAATATAGAACACCCAGGACAACAGCACAGGGAAATGGGAGAAATGCAGAGTTCCCAAGTTCCTAAGACATAGGCAATTTTCCTCATCACATTTTATGGAGAACACTGGCTCAGAGAGGGGCCTGTTAAAAGTCCCTCAAAAAAAGAAGTTTTACAGCCCCACCCATCCCTTCAGGTTGTCAACTATGCCTAAATTCTTGGGCAAAAGCTGTCTCTAGAGACACCCCGAGGAAAAGCCAGCCAGGCAGGTCTTTCTGCGGTCCCCCTACCCACGCTTCCTATTCCTTGCTGTGGTGCCTTTACTAGAACACAGATGCTGGGTGACTCTGCACTGTGGACACATAGGAAAGGTCTGAGCACCCCCAGAGGGAAGTCGGGTGGAAGGAGGTCATATCTGTTTGAACTGGGATGTAGCCACCTTGCTGGAACGAGAGGGTGGCCTTGGTGTGAGTCCTCCAGGAGTCCAGGGGGCCAGGCTGGCTTCCTCACTATTCTGCCTTCTCCCTGTCCTTGCAGGATCCCTTTGTGGCATTCCACATCAACAAGGGCCTTGTGAGGAAGTACATGAATTCGCTTCTGATTGGAGAACTATCTCCAGAGGAGCCCAGCTTTGAACCCACTAAGAATGTGAGACCCTGTTTGTCTTTTGGAGACCCTGTGGTTGTTGAGGGGCAGGGATTAGAAAGGCCTAGATAGGGTCACAGGTGGCCACACTCAGTACTTTTTGGGAGTCTTGAGGTCCCTGCTTCTCCTGAGTTCATTGGGTAGCAGGCCCAAGGGATCAGGGCTTTACAACCTATGGTTTGCAAACAAGGCCACCCCACTACCATCATCATCAACTCGAGACCTATTTATTGAGCACTTACTCTGTGCCAAGCATAACTTCATATACTCACACATTTACAGATGAGAAAACTAAGACTCAGTTGGTAAGCTGAGGATCACACAGGAAACAGTAGAGCAGGGACTTGAACCCAGTCTATTTAACTCCAAAGACCATGTGCTCTTAGGCACGATCCCATACCGCCTCCTCCTGATGTCCTTCCTCAGTATTGCAGTGTCTTCACCCAGGACTGTGGACTTCCCATAGCCACCTCAGTGGAGAGGGCCTGTCTCCAGCACTGTTGGGTTGCAGCAGGGAAGAATCACAGCCCCTTCCCCCCGCTCCCTACCTTTCCACAGAAAGAGCTGACTGATGAGTTCCGGGAGCTGCGGGCCACAGTGGAGCAGATGGGACTCATGAAGGCCAACCCCATCTTCTTCCTGCTCTACCTGCTGCATATCCTGCTGCTGGATGTCGCTGCCTGGCTCACTCTGCGGGTCTTTGGGACATCCTTTGTGCCCTTCCTCCTCTGTGCAGTAATGCTCACCACAGTTCAGGTGAGGCCCCTGGCTTCTCAAGAGCATAGCTGTCCTCCTCTATCCTGGGGGAAAGAAAGCTCTTTGTACCCCTCAGAAGGCCAAGGAATCCTGTGCAGAGCTGAGGGTGTGTGGGAGAGTTAGTGCAGGAGGGGAACATGTATTCTCTGGTCTGTGACTTTTATTTGCTCAGCAGCCACATGTGCACCATTTCTCTCACTGCCTCTTCAGCTGCTCCTCCCAGGATTCCCTCCTACCTGCAGAACCTTCTCTGAAACTCAGTTTCAGGTTCAGCCACAGCCTAAGTGTACCAAGAACCAAGATTCTGTTTTCTCAACAGAGCTTGACTCCCTCCCACCACATTGCTCAACATGCTAGTAATCCTTGGGCCCTAACACTTGGCTGTCAAAACCCATTTTATCAAGCATCTACTTTTCTCTGAGTTTGTCACTCTCTGTCCTTTTCTGTGGTTTGGATGTTCAGCCCACCATAAGTCACTGAACTCTGGAGCCCGGGACACTGGAGAATAGGGAAGGGATAGTGATTTGCCCCAACTCTCGTGTGCATTAGTGGCAGAGCCAGAGTTAGAGCTCTGGCTTCCTAACTCCTTTCCTGATGTGCTCAGTTAGGATTTGCAGCCATCACAGGCCTAGGTGGATGAAGGAAGAAGTAGAGGCTGAGGATCTGCTGAGGTCAGTGTGAGGGATGCTGGGCTGGTAGGCTGTTCTCAGCACTAACCTCTCTTCCCAGGCCCAGGCTGGCTGGCTGCAGCATGACTTTGGGCACCTGTCCGTCTTTGGCACCTCTACGTGGAACCACTTGCTACATCATTTCGTGATTGGCCACCTAAAGGTCCATGGGATAAGGAGGGGCTCTCTGAAACTCCGACAGTGAAGGGCTGCCTGGGGTTTGGGGTGACACTAGACTTTCAAACTTATGTCTGCTTTTCTGTAGGGGGCCCCTGCCAGTTGGTGGAACCACATGCACTTCCAGCACCATGCCAAACCCAACTGTTTCCGCAAGGACCCAGACATCAACATGCATCCCTTCTTCTTTGCCTTGGGGAAGATCCTCTCTGTGGAGGTGAGCTGAAGTATCTGTGGAAAGGTCTGGCGAATGGGAACTAGCCACACACGGGGCTTTGTGGAAATGCTCATAATGCTGGCAGTGTGAGTGACACTGGGGGCTGGGCTGGTTGGCTCTTTGGAAGCTGTAGGAGGCAATAGGCAGTAAATGGGCTGCCCAGGACAGTATCACTTATCCTCCCTAGTGAGTTCAAGTCAGCTAAGAGTTATTACATAAAGGTGCCTCATGCTGTAAAGGCTCCAAAAGACAACCAGATTATTGTGCAAACCCCTGCTTATCCTTAAAGGGGATGGATGGCCCTCCCTGGGATGCTTTTTTAGACACTCCTACCCCAGGCAGTTGTATTCCACAATTGGTGTTCCTTGCTTACACTTTGATATCCTACTGTGTCCTCCTTGTCAAAGGCTGGAATGTCTTACTCTTCTCTGATGCTCAGTGCCTGGAACATTCATTCACTGAGTAATTTTTCCCACCTACCTGATCCCAGTCTAACTTCCAGGGTGGTCAGCATTGAGTTTGAGTTGCCATCTGAGACTATGAGCAAAAATCATAGTGCAATTGCCAGAGGAAGAATGCCCAGGGGTGGCGATCTGGTAAGTTGAGTGAACACTAGGCAATAGGAGAGTATTTGAATGGCCAGCAGAGTTCTTTGAAAAATTCATTAAAAACCCTTTGTCTCAAAGCTCTAGGCTGTAGTCAGAGTTCTGCCAGGTCCCCTCCCCTACTTTATGACATTTCAGCATGCCAAGAATTAAACTGTTAAACACGTCTCAGTTCCAGGCATGAGTTCAAGGTAGCCTGGCTCTCCTTTTCCCTCTGTGGGAAGGTTTTGGCAGCACTGGCTGTCCTGGTACAAGAAGCCTCTAGTTTGAGACTTAGGCCCCACCTGTCCATAATGCCCTGATTTTCCCCACTCCTAAGGAACTTTCTTGGTTTGTTACACATTCAACAGTGTGTTATGATCAACAGTGGGCAGATGATGAACCAGCCCTGGCCCTACTTGGCTCAGGTGACTACATCAACAGCAGCATGGTTAATTTACTGGGTAGAGCATGGGGTTCTTGGTAGCACTTCTATTGTCACTATAGAGGTGGGAGTCTCACAGTCGCGGCTCTTCACTGGTGGGGGTGGTGTGGTGGGTGTTGCATAGCAGGGCTGTGCCAGGACCTTGGAGGACAGAAGTGGGCTAGGGGAACAGCTGCCACTGGGCCTGCCCTCTGGGCCACACCACCAACCTGAGGAGACTCTTAGAGCCTTTGCACAAAGCCAAAGTCCCTGCACCCCCCTCCCCAGGGAGCTCTCACCTCTCCCATGGTGGAGGACTCTGTCTGCCCCGGGTCCTCAGAGCTGAGCAGGTTGTGCCACTCAGACCCCGAGCCACACACACCCTTGGGCTGCCTGGCAGCAGTGGCATCCATATGGGGGTCACTGATGGATGGGGTCAGGGCTCAAGGGCTGGAGGCTGGAGTACCTCTTCAAGGCAGAGTGTCTTTCCAATGGTGGATCAGTTTCCTGATGGAGGGACAGGGAGACTTGTCACCTCCAACACCCCAAGTTCCCACGTGCTCCCTGTGGGCACAGGGCCCCCCAGCACAGCCCTGTGCTTACTGGAGGACTCCTTGCTGCTCCAGGTTGTACCTACCTCCATCCCACATGGCTACATTGTACATAGCCTCAATGGCCCAGTCAGTGGCTTGGAGGACATCCTGTTCCAGGCCCTCGGGGGAGGGGATGGGCAGTTAGACCTGGAGCCAGGTGAACATACTGAGCCCAGGTCCAGCCTGGGTGCAGGGTAGTCAGGACCACAGATTAGAGCTAAAGCCTGGAATGTCAGACATGAACACAGACAGCTGAACTAGAATGTGAAATGGGCTTCTCAAACTATGTCACTCAGGGAGCTGGAGCATGGGGTGGTCCCATGCTTCTGCTTTACATATTGGGGCCCCGCTGAGGATTTTACCTCTAGCTAAGATGTGTCTGAAAACCAGAGGTCCAGAGCACAAACACAGCTTGAGGCCAGGAGTACAAACCGAGTCTGTCTCCCATTTGGCTGAGAGCCCAGCAGGGAGCCTCATGTCTGGACCCCTTAACATGCCACTCTGGGTCTCGCTAAGTGGACAAGACACTTCTCACATCACTGCCTTTATTACTAGATACTACGGTTTTCAGAAAACTCCCATCTGCAGACACTAAAAATAGAGAATGATCTAGGACCAAAACAGCCCCATTTTTGGCCTAGTTACATGTCTGATAGGCTGCCCATTAATAAATGCCTGGGTTACATACAGGCTGCTTGGTGTTTGGTTCAGCTCCTCTGGGTAGTTAAACTGTACACTGACCCTCATGCGGATCCAATGGCATCTACCTCGGTGCTTCTCAACTCTACAGGAGAACAGGACGTACAGGGGACACTTCACCCTAATACAACCTTTCTGGCCTCCAAGAGTCAACACAATAGGGCAGATATTATGGTCATAATAGCATTTTTCCACCATTCAAGGGGATGGGGCTCCCTTCCATAACAGTTCCATAATAGAGGGCGTGAGTTCTGCCTTCCCACCCCACCAAACAGGACAGATCCTCTCTTCTGGCTTTCCTGTCAGTTAATGTTGCCTGGAATGGGATAAACTTCACTCCCACATCCAGTTCGTCAGCAGGCCTTGTTAATACTGCCTCTAAAACATATCCTAAATCTATTGACTTCATTTCCAGTGCTTCCCATCCCCCTGTGTGGTCCAGTCCCAATCTGCATTATTGTTCCAACCTCCTCACTGGTCTCCCTGCAACTGTACCTAGCCACTACACTTCACTCCCCCCACCTCCAACTAGTGTGAGCCTTTTAAAACACAAAGCAGATCATGCCATATCCTTTGAAAGACTTCCAGTGGCTTCCCATCCCATGGAAAAAAACCAAACTCCTTACTGTGGCCTTACCAGGGCTTTCTAAGGTCCAACATGATTTGACCATCCCTAGCTTTCTGACTTTATCAGCTACTCTCCCCTGTTGCTTACTATTCCCGGGCACACTGGACTTCTTTCCGTCCCTTGAACATCCTCAGTTAGGTGGTGTTCCCTCTGCTTTAAATGCTCTTCCCCTGAATTTTTGCATTGCTAACTCCTTCTCATCATTTGAGTCTCAGTTCAGATGTCAGCCTCTCAGGCCATATCTGCCCATCCTAACCAAATGCTGCCTCCCTCATTTTCTGTCATATTTTCCTGTTTTTAATCTGTAGTTATCTTGAGCTCTGTTTACAAATTTCTCACCAGCTTCCTCTCCTTAGATTATAAGCTCCTTGAGGGTAGGAACTTTGTTTTGCTTACCTATGTATCTTCAGCACCTAGAACACTGCATGGCACATAGTAGGTTCTCAATAATTTGTTGAATACATCAGCTAATACAGAAATACTGTTTCATTTAGCAGAAGTGCCATGCACAGAATAAACTCTCAATAAACAGCCTGTCAGAACAGTGGGTGGACATGTGAGAGGATGAGCCAGCATTCTGCTTTGGGGTAGAGCTCCTCCTGTGCCCTGTGGCCATCTGGTTGCCAGAACTAATGGGGGTAAGAATAAACTGAGCCATCAGTGAGGCAGCAGAGCCTTACTGTCATGCCTGTGTGCCCACACCAGGGGTTCAGGCCGACTGGCTGACTTCCTGGCCCCAGCCCGTCTCTTCAACAGTTAGGCTTATGAAATAACCACCGCCTAACTGAGGAAAAAAACCTGGCTGGAGACTTCAGATCACTGAGTTGTTCCTGCCATTCTTTCCACAAATATTTGCCAAACTTTGCTTAGATTTCAAGCGATTTTATAAAGCTCATGTTGAAGTCAAGAAAAAAGATTTTGATGGAGAAGATCAGGGGCTACATGTGGAGGGATACTGATGTGCATAGGGGTAAAATGGTCCATGGAGTCCTTGAAGACTGATGTCAGATGGGAGAAAAGAAGGGAAGAAGGTGTCTTTGGAGGAACATGAAGAGCCCTGAGGACCTGCAGACACTTGTGCACGTGCCTCACGTGGACATAGGCCAGTGAGCTACTTGCCAGATCTCAGCCTGGATCCTCATGTGCCAGGTACTGTAGGTAAAGATGGGCCCACTGGAGCCTTCCAATAGCATCGGCATGCTGACAGCTCAGAGCAGGACTAAACTCCTGAGCAGGGCAAAGTCAAGGTCACAGGGGGAGGGGATGGGTGACTAGTCTGTGGCTACTGATCTGTGGTTGCTTTTCTTCATAGCTTGGGAAACAGAAGAAAAAGTATATGCCGTACAACCACCAGCATAAATACTTCTTCCTGAGTGAGTGTCCTCATCCAGCACAGGGGACTGCTTTGGGTGGGATGGTGAAGGGATGTGGGGAGGAAGTATTCTCCACAGGGTTATGGTATTTCAAGTAAAGGCTGGAGGAGGTACCCAGTAACCCCGCAGGTTACTCCCTGTGTGGGAGCAGTCAACCATCTCAACAGAGTCAAGTCTGTGTCAGGCTACCATTGAGTCATAGGTCATTTGTGTGGAGGCACACCAGTTCCTCCAGTCCGCTCCTGGCCTCCACAAGGACTGAACAGTTGGGGAGCAGGGGTGGGGCAGGGGCATCTGGATTAAGCCTTAAACCTCACCTTATACCTTGTCAAAGAGATGTGAGCTGAGGTGACCCGGTGGGCGCAGTCCAACCTCCAGGGGACAAAGGTAGACACAGCCATGGGAGGACAGGACTGCAGAAGCGGGGGGAAGGACTGTTGGAGCTGAGGAGGAAACATTAAGGTGGTTGTCTTAAGCTCTTTCTGAAGAGTGCTATTGCCTGCTTTAAAAATCTGCTCCATAATGCCTGAAATTTTGAGTTTTAGAAGTTCTTTGGAAATGCCGATTTTTAAAGGGAGGAGATGATTCCACTGACCCTAATTAAGTTCAAAGGAATTTATCCTAACTGCTTATTACCAACCATCCCTACTGGTGAAAGGATTGGGTAGGGTAGAGCAGAAATGTTCAGAAGAAAGGATATGGGAATCCATGGCACAAGAGGATGGAGTAGCTGTGGGTGGGGCATTTTAATGCAGGGGGTCACATGCAGCGTCAAGGCCCTGCTGAGAAGGGCTACAGAAATGGGACACTTAGGAGGTGAGCCATTCCTTCAACTCCCAGTTTTAAGAGAAGCCCCTCCACCCCTTCCTATAGCCAATGTCCAGGGCTTCTGGGTGGGTAGCACAAACTCATTTCCCTGGTCCAAGGAAGTGAACTTTTAGCCCATGAAGGATCAGTAAGGTACTTCCCACACACTCACACGCTTTTCTGCTCCTGCCCCTTCACCTGCTGGGTGGAGCAGCCAGGAACACAGGGAAGGTGACTGCAAGGGCAGATGTACAGCCAGTGGGAAGGCCCTTGGCAGGGGCAGGGCTGTGGTCAAGGCAACTCGGAATATTAGCATTATGCCCTTTGAAAGGTATGGAGGCAGAGCAAGTTAATGCGTGGAGCTTGAGTTTCCCCAGCTGCCCTCTTCTACTGGAAAAGAATGTCACTCCCTACCCTCACCCTCCTGGCATGCTCTTGGGAGATTTTGCCCTCTTCAGACTTGCATTCATGCCTATCTTCAGTGCCTGCTGGTTCCAGTGGATTGAGGAGTGACAAGTCAGCTGAAGAGGCCACAGGGGGTGACAGGGGCCGCCTGTTGCTGGAGGCCACCTCTCCAGCACTGATCAGGCCTCTAGTGACCCTCATATTGCTCATGCCTCCTTCCTGTCTCCGTTTCCTCTACAGTTGGGCCCCCAGCCTTGCTGCCTCTCTACTTCCAATGGTATATTTTCTATTTTGTTATCCAGCGGAAGAAGTGGGTGGTAAGTATCCATTTCCAAAGAGTCCAATATCCTTTGTCGCTAGTACCCTGAGGGGGAGATACCCTCATTTCCCAATGTCCTGTTTCATTTAGCCAGTATCTCCTGAGGTTCTTGTGCTGGGCATAAATCCAGGGGCCAGGCCGGGGAGTGGGGAAGATGAGTAAGAGATGGTATCTACTCTTAGGAAACTTCTGGTGAAGCAGGATGTGGTTGACACCAGAGAAGAACAGGCAGAAGGTCTGGGATTCCAAAAGGGGCCTGACTACATCTGGTTGTATGAAAGGCATCAGAAAATGCTTTGTGGAGTCATGTCTCTAGCTGGCTTAGGACAGGCAGAGGTAGGGTTGGGGGAAGCTGGACTCTGAGAAAAGAAGCTAGAAGTGAGCGGCGAGGTTGGCTGTTGGACATGTCGAAGACTCAAGTGTTCTGCGAGTATATGCAGAAAAGTAGTTGGAGACTTGACCAGGGCACTGGCACAGACTGAGCCATGGTCCTGGAAGACTTAGTTTGGCTGCATAATGAAGGTATGAAGGATTTAGGTGGGTTGGAGGGAACTGGCAGCAGAGAGACCCTGGAGGCCTTTGCACCCATGAAGGAAATAGGCAAGGAGGGCTGGAGGTTGGGGGGTGGGGGAGAGGTGGCACTAGAAATGAAGGGAAGGAACAGTGGCACTAGATATTGCAGGATTGGGCACCTGAGAGAAACTAACAGTAACTGAGTGTTCCAGCCTGGTACCCAGGAGACTGGCACATCATGCAAAGAGACATGTAAAGTGAGAGGAAAAGGAAGAGGTGCTCTGTGCCAGTCATAATGCTCTCTGCCTCTCATGCAGGACTTGGCCTGGATGATCACCTTCTATGCCCGCATCTTCCTCACTTACGTGCCACTGTTGGGACTGAAAGGCTTACTGGGCCTGTTCTTCATGGTCAGGTAGTATTTGATGGGAGAGCAGGGATGGGCAAAGGAAACCAGGTGTTGGGATTAACCACTCTGGTCTGGAGGCTGTGCTGGGGCTCCAGGTAGTGCACTGGGTGACTGAAGTGTGGGCTTGAGAAAGGTGGCCAGGCTGGAGCAGTTATCTGAGGAAGAGTTTAACTGGGCTTTACCTGTGCTGTTGTCGTGTGCCATATCCTCTAGGTTCCTGGAAAGCAACTGGTTTGTGTGGGTGACACAGATGAACCATATCCCCATGCACATTGATCATGACCGGAACGTGGACTGGGTCTCCACCCAGGTGAGGAACAGGCACTTAGACCTGGGCATAACACAGCTAATAACAAAAGTGGGTGGGGAACAATGACAACAGCAAAAGCTGCCAAACGGGAGTGCATTAGCTTGAAGCTTCTCTTTGGCCATCATGCGGAGAAGGGAGTGACAGCGGCAGTCCCATACTCCCTCGTCTGGGCCAGCTTTACCTGGAGAAGGCTGCGCTGGTCTTTCCATCTGGTACCCAGGGCCCTGCTCTCCCCTGACCTTTTCAGCTCCAGGCAACATGCAATGTCCACAAGTCTGCCTTCAATGACTGGTTCAGTGGACATCTCAACTTCCAGATTGAGCACCAGTAAGTAGGGAGACCTAGGAAACTGCTGTTCGGGGTGTGTGGGAACAGAGGAGTAGGAGCCACTAACTGTCCTGTTCTCCCTGAAGTCTTTTCCCTACTATGCCTCGACACAATTACTACAAAGTGGCTCCCTTGGTGCAGTCCCTGTGTGCTAAGCATGGCATAGAGTACCAGTCCAAGCCCCTGCTCTCAGCCTTTGCTGACATTGTCCAGTAAGTATCTCAGCCTGGGAGGATGGGTGGTAGGGCAGGGAGAGGGTGGGGCGGTGGGGTTTAGTGTGGGTTGGGGGCCCCAGGAAGGTTTCCTCAGTTCTCTGGAGTGGAGATCAAGGCAAAGGCAGGGTTCTCTATGGTCCCGTGGCCAGGTCAGGCCTCTGCTCGTGTCATGGCCCAGGCTCTTTCTCAGAAGCAAAGGGGAGGAAAGCATTCACATGAAAGGGGGCCTTATGTCATGAAGACTGGCCTCCGTGCCTCTGTGAGAGCCTTACTACTACACTTCTGACAGATGGTTCAGCCTTCAAAGTTGCTTCCGTTGGTCTCCCTCACTGCCCGCTCCCATCTTGCCCCACAGCTCACTGAAGGAGTCCGGGCAGCTCTGGCTAGATGCCTATCTTCACCAATAACAACAGCCCTGTCTGGAAGAAGAGCTTCTGGAGCCAAAGCAGAGGGGAGCTGGAGGGACAATGCCACTAAATGCTAATATTCAGAGGGGGTGGGTTTGAGGAGATAAAGGGGAGGGATCAGAGTGAGAACCTTTATCTCTAGGCACAGACCTAGGACTTGGAGAGGGGTAGGGAACATCCCTTGAAGAGAGGGATGGAGCTTTTTTTTGGACCAGGAAGTTGAGTTCCATTGTTTCTTTTTTCTAGTTTGGCAGATATAAATGGTTGGTGAGCAAAGAGAAAGTCAGAAGGGTTAGAAAAACAGGGAGGACCTACCCAGCCTGGAAATCAGGAAGACATTTAGCACCAAAATTCCACCCAGGAAAAGAAGGGGTGAGCTCATCTCACTGGTTTACTTCTCAGTACCTTTTCCTCCCTCACTTGCAGACCTCAGAAGTTCACAGGCTGAAGGGAGACAGAGCATCCAAACCTTTTGAGCAAGATTTAGAAAGGAAGCATTAGCGCTTAGAATTCCGAGGCCTGGCATAACACAGTGCTTAGAGGAAGCTCGGATCACTCTAGGGCTTGGCGTGACCTATGTCTGCCTCAGGATCCTGGAGAAGCCGTTGTCCACTTTGAGAAGCAGGCAGGGCCAAGGCCACAACTGTTACTGGAGGCAGACATCTGACCTTGAAGGATCCTGGCCCTACTGATTTTGGTCTCATGTCCCAGCCAGGGTATATCTCTTGGGAGCATTAGGTTTTAGGTCTTGCCAAAACAGCAGAGAAGGTTGCTGGCCATTAAAAATCCCTTTAGCTTTTGATTCACCTTTTCTAAACACCACCCAAGGAAAAGAACACTCCTAGGACAGTGAGTCCACTTCTTTCAAGTGAGCAGATAGGGTAACTAGTCTTCTTCGTGGAAACATGGGGCTCCCAATGGTTTTCCTTTGCTTTCCTACCTGTAATTCCAAGTTCAACAAAATAGCAGTCAATAAACACAGTGGTTAAGTTGGGAGATACTGAATTACCAGTCATGAGAAAACACAAGTGTCTATCATAAACAGCCTAAGGGCTGTAAGAAATGTATAGCCTAAATATGTTACAATACTTTGGTGTAGGAGCAGTGGATTAAATACAATCGTGTCATAGTTCTAAACCAGTAATAGGGAGATAGAACCACAGAAGTTGTGATGCCATTGCTGTCGTTAGGCATCTCACTGTCAATTCTGTTCAAGTACCTTTCTCTGGTGGCAACCGGGTAGGAATTTAGGGTAATCTCTTAAAAAGCTTATCAGTTCAATGCTGAAATACAACTTTTAAATCTGGTTTTTAAAGAAAAAAAAAAACAAGTTTAACCCACCTCTGTAGAGAGAACATTGGAATGTGCCCCAGGATCTTGTCACCAGTATTCACATGGCTTCCCTCCCCACACCCTCCTTTCAGTTCAGGTGGCGTATCAGTCGCCTGTTCTGCATCTACTCTAAGCATACTGAGCACTCTGGACACTGAAGGAGGGAACCCCAAACGAGAAGGAAAAAGCAGAGCCCTAGAGAGTTCATATCCAGTTTGGGGAGAGACTGGCAAGTGGGGAGATAAAGGTCCTAAGACAGGTGGAGATGGGGTTAGAGGCCCACCTATGGAAAGGCTATTGTGATTACTTAGAGGTTTGTCAAACAAAGACAGCTGAAAAAAGACAGATGGAGGAGAACAGGCTGTGGAAGAGTTCAGCTCTTTTCCATTCGGAGAAAAGCTGGTTTTAAACAGCCTGGGTAGAAAAACTGGCAGAACTGGAGAGTTCTATTTTCCTTGGCTTCCTCACTCCAGAACAGGTGCTGATTCTTTCTCATCTCTGTTCCCTGCTACCTAATTTGTGTGGTGTCACCAGCCTGTCAAGCCATCTGGCTTTGGGCCCAGGCTGCCCAGTTTAAGCCAGTGAGGCTTATGGAGCCAAGCAAGTCCAGGTCCTCAAAGCACCTCAACCACTGTGGCCTTCTCTCATTGGTCTAGACCAGTGTGGTCTCACACAGCCACAAATGGACATACCAGTAGCAAAAGGCTCAGCCTGTTACAATGATGACATGAGCAATCTCAAATCCAAACAATGACACATGCGCAAATATGCTTAGACAGGACAGGTCATCTCCAGTACAGGTTGTGGCAGAACTAACATTTGAACTTGCTTTTTAAAAACAATTCGTATGTTTATCTTTGTTACTTTAATATTCCTACCACTTGGCAGAGGCATTTTCTTTAAGTCCCACATCAGTATCCTTTTTGTGTGTGCCAGTTTTGTTACTGTGTCCCAATGAAGCTGAAAAATAAAGTTGCTTTTGACTGAATGAAGTCCATTCATTTGTAATCCACAGTGCTCTTCTGCACATGTTGACAGGACTCCTGCGTCTCTGCTCTAAGTTACTATCCACCACTACAGCTTTTCTTTCTGAACATGCATTCCCATGTGGACTCCCCTTTGCATAAGCCCTGTGGGCAGAGGAACATCAGGACCCTCCAGAAAATGCCAAGGAACAGGTGGACTATGGCAAGGAAGAGAAAAGCCAACCACTTCCCATGGCACCCATATGTTCCAATGCTAGATTTCCTAGATACACTAGTCAGGATTTACCTGCATGGCTTCCTCCTGTCATGACACGGAATCCTCACCCTCTTAATTCATTTCTAGTTTCAGTCCCCATTAAATCTTTTCGCCTAAATCTTTGCTCTGCAGGCACAATACCTCAGAGCTGGACTGCAGAGCAATGCCCTTTTAACTAGCACAGTTCTCTTTGAATATTAGAACATGTTAAATAGAAACAGCAGAACTGATCATCCCTGCAGTGTGCAGTTATTAAACTTTTCGAAAAGACCAGGCAACTCACCTTCAAAAAAAAGAAGAGGAAAACAAATCACTACCTGCTTGACTACCTTAGAGTACAAGCCTTACCACCTCCAGAGTTGCAGTACAAACCCCATCACCTTTATCACAGGCTTAGAATCTAATTACAGTACTTAAATCAGAAAATGGAGCTCAGATAAACTGTGTGGCTTGGCTCAATATGGGATAACTGGTTTCATTCATCAACTGCTTGAGACAGAGCAGTGAACAAAACCAAGACCCCTGCCCTTTAAGATAGGACTGTCTACATCAGTGTTTCCAGACACCCCTGGTTACAAGAACATTGCTGGGGAGACTATATCCCATTTCTGCTCCAACCAGAGGAACTCTCATACCCAGAGATTTCACCTGCAAAACAGGTTGCTCTATAAAAAACTTTGAGAATCATTGATGTTTAGGCTTCTACATCCTTAATCTGTTAAAAACATTGTCAACTTAAATTTCAGACCACTTAAGTGTCCTTGTTAACTTCAAAATGCAGTAAATGACAGGAATGATAAAAAGTTAGAAACTTAAACAGGATAGCTTCAGACCAAGTTTGGTTAGCATTATAAAACTTTCAAAGCACAAGGACACTGCATCTCTGAAACAGCAACCTGAACCTGATATCACAAAAGAAACAATGTGATGTTTGAATGGACAAATTTTGAACTGGTAAATGCTTGGATGCTATGATGTAGTTCATTTAAATTGTGGGACTTTCTCGAAGGAGCTCCTTTATCTCACACACTAAGTAGAAAATTAGAAATTCATTGAAATCATTCAAACTCCTTTCCCAGCAAGATAAATGGCTTCTTCCTCCAAACGGCTGAAGTACCTACCACCAAAGCTGCTCCGGCCATTCTGGGGGCATGGCGCCATCTTGTGGCCACACTCAAGTGACCTTAATAAGGCGCAATTCCAGTGTGTTACCTTATGAATGACAAGGGGAACATCACAGATGGCCTGAAGCCTGGGGCACGAGATGTTTGTTTTCAGGTATTCAAAGAACAGGACATTCTGTTTACTTTTATAATTTTATTGGCTCTTTCCTTATATCTTCAAAATGAAAACAGCATCTTATCCCAAGTATCAACTCAGCTGATTGCTTCAGAAGCTAGGGGAACTCTGACACATTATACTTCTGAATATACCACTGTAAAGACTTAAGTTACATAGCAAGTTTAAGTTCCTGCCCACCCCAGGACATACAGCAAATAATCAAGCCCTTGCTGCCAACTCTGGGACTCCAGGTCTCTGCCTATTTCTCAGTGGCCCTTCCCATCCGTTCAGACTGGGTCTTCCTGATGGCTATCCTTCAGGGTGGGTCAAAGCTGAGCCTGAGAGAAGTGCAGTCTGGTTCCACCATCAGCTCCTACCAGCCACTAGCTTGCCAGCCAGGAAATCATTTCTGTACAGTCTTTTCTCTCCACTGTTTTATCTCCCTCTCCCTTCTTCAAAACTTGTTTCTATCAACTTCACCTAACAATGGATTCAGTGTCCATTAAATTGCCTGAGAGGTGGTTTGAGCCTGACACACTTTCCTGAGCTAAAAAGAAAGAAAACAAAGTATCTCTGAGACCTTCCTGCTAAAAGATCAGGTGTAAAAGGCAAATGCACTACCAAAATGGGTAGTGCTGGAGAAGCAACCCCCCACCCACCCCCACCCCCACCGCCATGCCCCCAGGGAAGTTTCTCTAGGGCTGGGTATTCTGGGTCAAGGAGGTAAAGGAGGGGAAACCCATTTATTTTCCCCTTCTGAACTTCCCCGCTGCCCCAGTCTTCGCCTTCTTCTTAGCAGATCCCTTAGGTTCTGGCGCCTTGCGCTTAGCTGAAGAGAGTGAGCCGGTCACCTTAAAGAAATCATCCAGGCGGCCCTGGGTGCTGCCCTGGCGGCTCTTGCTCAGCCGCTTGACCCCACTACGGATTCGCTCCTCAGAGAACTGCTTTTCACCACACATGAACTTGACAAGCTCTTCCTCATTTGGTTCACTCCATTTCAGCTCCACAGACTCCGGGTCAAGCACCTCGGGCTCCAGGAAGAGATGCTGGGCCTCCCTGTGGAGCCAATTTTCCGGCACAGGGTACTTGTTGGGGTCGAGCTGACGCACAATCTCCTCAATGCTCTTGTGCTTCCGGATGAGGTCCACAGCCCGCTTGGGCCCAATACCCCGAATGCTCTCACAGTAGTCACTGCCCAGCAGGATGCACAGATCTACAAACTGCTCCTGGTTCAGGCCGAGCTCCTGCAGAATCCGGCTCAGGTGGAATTCCTGGATGGGCAGCTTCTTGGCCTCACTGGCAGTCAGGTGCCGCATTAATACGGGGCTGCCAAAGGTCAGACAATCCATGTCCTCTGTGGCTGCGGCGTAGACTTTGCCAGCCTTCACCAGGGCGGCACAGCTGGCCTCTGCCTCACTGGGTGCATCGAGGTATGGGATGCCCATGAGGTTCAGTAGGTGCTTGCACTCATCGTTGTGCTGCTTGGTGACCTTCACCAGCCGTTTAGTAAACTTTTCCACCTCCTCCTCGGCCCCAGCAGCCTGAGCCTGCTGCAGCTGCTTCTCCGCCTCAGCCCGCCGCTCACTGCGTTTGGCCAGCTCACCTGACTTGAGCTGTGGTGGCTTGCCATCAAAAACATAGACGGGCTTGATGCCATTCTCCATCATACGGATGGTACGGTAGAACATGCCCATCAGGTGGCTGGTGGTCTCACCCTCCTCATTCTGCAGCACATCCCCGCCTTGACGAACAGCAATCAGGAACTGATAGATGCTCATGGAGGCATCAATGGCCACCTTGCGGCCGAAGTAGCTCTTGATGTCATTCTCCCGAATGGCACTGGGGGCCACATCAGCTATCAGTTTAGCCAGGCCTTGAATTCCCATAGCAATACAGAGGAGGGACAGCTAAAAAAGAAAGGCAGGTAAAACAAGGAGGAACTTAAAGAATGCCAAAGGAGCAAGGGTTATAACTGGTGAGGTCTCATCAACTTCATGCCTTAAGTTGAACAAATTAAGCACAATAAAAAGGACACCCAATTCTGCACTGCCGAGCTAAAGCAATAAACAAGACACTGTCTCCAGTCTCAAGAAAATTACAGTCTAGCAAGGGTGTCTACTTGATTAATTCTAAGGTTTCCTGATCATCAGGACTAAATTGGTGCTAAGAGGAATAAGACACAGTAATGGATGTCCTCGAGGACGGACAAGGCAGCAACAGAGCTAGCATGCAATAGGAGCTGCAGCAGATGTCTGCTTCAAGGACCATCCAAGTCCAGAGCACAGCACCTGGCTCAGCTCAAGGAGTCCAGGGATCTTAATGGTAGAGCTAGGTCCTCAATGAAAACAAATACTGGCTCAACAAAGACGAAATCAGGTACAAAAACAACCATAATACACAACTGAATGTGTAAAGTGGTAAAACGAACATGTGTATCTACCTTATTGCCAAATTGTTAACAACACATTCACTACTCCTTTGTACCTTCATACCAGTCACTGAACAGCCCCAGCTAATCCCTCCAGCTCACCTCCTCTAAGCGGCTGTGACAGTCTTATGTGTCAACCTGGCTATAGTTCCCAGTTATTTAATCAAACGTAAATCCAGGTGTTGCTGTGTAGGTACAGCTGACCCCTGAACATGAGCTTGAATTGCACGCGTCCATTTATACACGAATATTTTTCAACAACTACATTGGAAAATCTTTCGGAGATCTGTGACAAACTGAAAAAACATTCTCCCTTCTCTAGCTTGCTTAATCACAATACAGTATATAATATAGATACACGAAAAATTCTGTTGACTATGAATTCAAATAAGGCTTTCAGTCAACAATAGGCTATCAGTAGTTAAGTTTTTATTGATCAAGTTATACACATATTTTCAACTGCATGGGGGGTCGGTACCCCTAATCCCTGCTCTGTTCAAAGGTCAGCTGCATTTTGTAGATGTCGTTAACATCTAATGCGGGGGAGCCTCCTATCAGCTGAAAGGCCATGAAATCAAAAACTAAGGTTTCCCAAAGAAATTCTGCCTCAAGACTGCAGTACCTACTCCTGCCTGCGTTTCCAGTCTGCTGACTTTTCCTACAATTCTCAAACTTGTCAACCCCTACAATCACTTGAACCGATTCCTTAAAATAAACCTATATATACATATCCATATCCCCTATGTTCTGTTTCTCAGGAGAATCAGCTGATCTTATGCAGTATCTGTGTCTTATCAGTTATATTTTACTATGTGTTAAGTGTGTAACTATTAAAAAGGATTTTCTGGGTGCCACTTAAGGTCATCATGTACTCACTGCGGGTACATGTCCAACACTAAGAAATCTTATACTTAGGCTTCCCATTGAATTGTTCCCACTCTTCCTTTGCAGGGGGGTCTTTATGAATTGTTAGTGACCCTGTTACAATCCTCCGCCTAATTAAGTCCAAGCACCTCTGCACGGCATCAAGAGATCTTCCATGCTCTGGTTCCCACCCCACCTTCACGGTCCGGGAACCAATACAAAGGCTGGGATAAGGCCTGCCCTGTCTCACTTTTGCCAGCTGGGCCCTCCTTCTGCCATCCTCTAAACCCCTCCTTCAAGGTCCTCCTCATTTCGGTCGCCCTTCGAATGCCAGTGGCAAAGGCTGTGGCCCTGAATGTAGGCCCCAGCATCACTCACCTGTGTGACATCGCTAAGTCATTTAAATGTGGTTTTCTTAGCTGTAAATAAGATAACCATAGCTGTCTTGCAGAATTACTGCCAGGGCTGATGACCTACACTAGGTACCCTGCAAACAAACGTCCACCCTGCAGAACCCATCCAGTCCTCCGGTTCGTGCAAGCTGCCTGCTTTGCTAGAACGTGAACTGAGAACACAAGGCCTTGCCGGCGGGTATCCTCCCACAGCACCCAGCGGAGGTAGGCAGGAAAAGGGTCGGGGTCTGAACAAGCGAATTGGGTTTCTCATCCAGGGTCTTAGTCAAAATACACAACGGCCCCTTAAAGTGGAAGCTATTATCCTCTTTGTGCAAATGAAGAGAGCAGCTCGGGGGTTACGCGACCGGCCCAAGTCCCACAGCGGGGAAGTTGGCGGGACCGCGCTCTCGCGTCCGCCACACGCGCGGCAGCCTGCCTCCCACGGCAGTCAGCGCAGAGCCGACCCCGCCGCTCTCGGGGGCGCTTCCCTTGGGTCTCACCTGGGCTCTGGGGCGCGAGGCTTCGGCAGCTAGTGCGTGGTCCGGTGATGCCCAGGATAGTCCTCAGCCCCGCTCCCTCTCCGCCGCGGACAACCTCTTTCGCTCGCCGCCTTCCAAAGCCCGCGCTCATGTCACGTGACCCGCAGCACGCACGTCTTTCTCGGAAGTGTAGTGCAGGCCCCGCCCCCCCTCGACCAGCTTCCCTGAAGGCAAACATGCTCGCCAGGGCTAACGCTTTCAGCTTTCCGGTCCTGCCCTTTTCCACTGCTCGCTCTCACTCTATATTAGGGCCCCGCAGGCCCCGGCTCCCGCTACACCCGAAACCATAGGACTACCAGTCCCACAATGCCACTGCGCGGGTGCACTTCCTCTTCCGCCTGAACAGGGCGCCGGCTCCGCAGACGTGTTCTTCCGGTGGCGAGCGGCGGATTACCTGCTGGCGGGCGAGATGGTGAGAGGCTTGAGGGGAGCGCTGGACAGGGCCCGTCCCACCCCCCCTTTTCCCCGTAGAGGCTCCGGACGCTCGAAGTCCAGAGGACGGAAGGCTCCTATAGCGTCCGGCTTGGGCTGAAGGACGGGAAAGGGAAGCCCCACGCCATGGACTTCTTACGCTGAAGTTTTGAGCTCTCCATTTTTAAGGCTGAGGGGCGTGAGGTGCATTTTTAATACTTTCGAGCTTTTATCTGTTGCCTGTGATCAAGCTGTTATTTCTGCAAAGTCTTTCCTCCTGCCGAATTTGTACTCATCCTACAAGGCCCTGGGCAAATGTTTGCCTTAGTAAAGCACCAACAACTCTCCCAGGCTCTTGGCCACTTTCTCCTGGGAGCTCCCATAAGCTTTGTAGGACCTCTTGCCACATGTCGTGGACTTCTTTGTTACCTGCCACATCTAGTGACCACCTAGTGACCATGTGACATCATCCAGCTCTGGGATGATGTCTATTCATCTTTGTATTCCCAGTGCCAAACACAGGGCCTGCAGTTGGGAGGCTCAATAAATGGCCGCAATTGTCTTTTTCATTTTTAGGGGGGGTCATAAATGTCTACTGAATTGAATTCCAGTGTTTCTTAGAACAATGGGGTCAATTTACTTCTCTAGAGTTGTTATGTTCTGGATTTTAGAAGCGTTGGCTGGGTGGTGACAATGAAAGTTAACATTTGTACAGAAGTTTACATTTACATCCCTCTTTCACAAGCTTTATCTCATAATCTTCCCTATAACCTTGGGAAGGAAACAAGTACGTATTGACGTATTGAACAGCTACTCTATGCCAGGCAGTGAGCTAGATGGCTTTGAACCGTTATCTTTCTTAAATTATACATCAGTCCTGTGAGATAGATATTATTGTAACTACTTTACGGAGACTCGTGTTATTCCATAGAGCCAGAATTGTAGTGCCTTTTGCCTGTAGGTACTGAGTTACATTAATAGTATAGTGGGAAGAATACAGAATTAGAAGTTGAGATCTGGGTTCCTGTCCAGGCTCTGTGAATTACAGCAGGGATTCTGAGTTTGGTGTCTGCAGACATGGGTCCATAAAACTCCCCAAATTATATGCAGACCTTTTCACCTATGTGGTTTTTCCCAGGCAGAGTCCATACCTTCCATCACATATTTTTTCACAGTGGTCAGTGGCCTCAGCAACTGTTAAGGACCATTGATCTGTAGCCAATCAATCACTTTCTGTGTCTTAGCCTCTCTCAGCTGCTCTTGTCTCATATTGAGAAGACAAGGTGCCACCTTAGTTTGAGATACAGTTGTAATTGTTGTCATTCCCAAACGGAATCACTTGGTGTTGGTTCTGTAGGATTTCTGTATTTCCCAGGCTGAAACAGGCCTTTAGCAGTCACAGCAGCATGTGGTCTCTTGATAATCCCACAGTCCCACCCAGGCTGAAGTCCTGGGACCTTTGACGGCTCTGATCTCATGCCCTCCCCTAGGAGCTCGAGGCCATGAGCAGATACACCAGCCCAGTGAACCCCGCCGTCTTCCCCCATCTGACTGTGGTGCTCTTGGCCATTCGCATGTTCTTCACCGCCTGGTTCTTCGTTTATGAGGTCACCTCCACCAAATACACTCGAGATATCTACAAAGAACTCCTCATCTCCTTGGTGGCCTCACTTTTCATGGGCTTTGTAGTCCTCTTCCTGCTGCTCTGGGTTGGCATCTACGTGTGAGCTCCCAAGGGTACCAGCCAGGCAGCTTCACCAAATTACTGCTTTTGTAAATTAAATTTTTTTATTATTGCTGGAACTGTCCCAACCTGCTACTCTCAATAAAGGCAGGTATGTGACTGTGCTGTGTCTGGTTCCCCATTCTGCATGGCAGGGAGCAGGGATGCTGGGACCTACATGACTTCCTCAGTCCCGTCCCTCCCTGTTCTGCCTTTCAGATGGTCCCTGCTGGTGGGGAAAGCTCCTGCTTTCCATCTGTGAGGGGTGTCTTGTCCTTGGAATTTAAGGCTTACCTGTGGATAGGAGGGGGCCAAGCATACCCTTTTCTGTTGTTTCTAGAGCAGACTTCTGTGGGAACCAATCACGTTGGCCATGGGCCAGTTTCTTCCTCCAAATGCAGCCACCCTTCTCTGGGCTGGGAACCGTTGCAAGGCCCTGCTTGTCCCGTGAGGTTCTTCCTAAGGTGGCTGCTTTACCTCAGGTGCAGCAGTGTGGCTGGGGGAGGGGGGCTGCTGAGTCCTGTTCCCAAGCCCCACATGAAGCCAAGAAGGATCACGGTACAAGGTATCCATCTGGCCCAAGGACCCCAGAGACTGCAGTTGGTCCTAGCCCCACATGCAACTCCATCTCCCACCAGGACAATCTCAAGAAGAGATGGGGAGGCAAGTTCAGATACAAAGCCGTATTTAAACATTTATTTATATAAGTATATTTACTTCAGAAGAAAAGGACAGTTCCGGGGAAGCAAGGAGGCCTGGGGCTGCCTCCCTCTGTCCACTCCAGTCAGAGTTGGTACACGATAAATATGAGTCAGCGCTCAGGTACAGGAACTGGGAGTTAACTGGGAGGGAGGGGCACTCTGCACATGTAGGCTTTTATGGGGGATATAACAGGCAGGGGGACTTGTGCATTGAGAGACCCTATGCACAGCTTGAAGCTTGGGGGAGATTAGCCCAGCGGCTACAGGAATAAATGCCAAAGGGGAGAGGAAGGGAGGGATAGCTGCTGGAGCCCGGGTAGGGAATGGAGCCAAGACACCCACTCACCAGCGCCAGTGAAGCAGCCGTCAGCCTCCAGCAGGTGGCCCACTCCCCTGAAGCCCTTTTATCTTAACTGGGCTAAGGCAACTTTGGTCCAAGGTTGACCCACCCCTTGAGCAGCTTGGAGCCCCAGCCTGGCCCCAATCCTTGCACTGAGGACCCCCTCCCCAGGCATGGAAACAGCCAGCTGCTAACCAGATTGGGGCTCTGCTGTGTCCAGATGGGCTCCAGGGAACAGTGGAGGGTCACTTCCAGTTAGGACTGAGGAAGCCTACAGTCCAAGAACACGCACTCTCACCCAGAATCCTATTATAACGGGTAGGGCTCCGCAGTTTTAAGGCATTTAGGGAGGGCACCACCAGCGGGGGGAGGGAGAACATAGTCGTCCTAAGGAACGAAGGAAGGCTCTGCCCCCTGTCTGCTGTGGGGAGCCATGTAATTCCTATGTCAGAATGGGGCGGGGGTGGGGGGAGCCACAACTGGGGAGGGGACGGGAGGCGAGGTATTCCTGCTATCCCCCGATTCCCCTCGTGTTTCCCTATCCTGAGGATAAGTGCTTTGAGATCCCTGGCAAGAGGGGAGCCCACAGTTCATAGGCTTCCTCTAGGTTCGCCTCCCCCGCAGAAAGACCTCCCACTCAAAGCTGAGAATGGGAGGTAGGAGACAGGCATGGCCTGGTTCCCAAAGAGGTGGCAGAACATGACAGGGCAAAGATGGCAGTTCTCATTCCCATTTCTGAACCCATGCAGATGGGGCCAAGTGTCTTCCACACTCCTTCCACAAGCCTGGGTGTGGCCTCAGAATGCTCCAGGCACCCTCTAAGAAAGGATTATATTGGCACTTGAGATAAGACTTCTTCCCTAACCCAAGCCCACCACTCTGCTCCTGGGAGGAGTAAGCAGAGGTGGGGCCTGCTGCTGAGCATGGGTCTCCCCAGCTTGGCTGTCCAAGCCCAGTACAGGAGCCCTTGATTTGGGGAGACAAGGTCACCAGCCAACAAGAGTGGAGGGAGAGGCCAGAGTTTTGGTGGTCAGAATTGGGTGAATGTTTCCAGGCTCCCTGGGGTGAATTAGAGCCAGGGTCCTGTCTTGGCCTGTCCCCCAAGGGCTCTGGTCTGCTCTGGGCCTTCCATCTCCATCCTTCCAGCCTTCTGCCCTGGCTTAAGTGCATTTTAGTAATTTCATAACAGCAAACACTATTTGCATCCCCCCACAACCCAGACTGGCCTACTGCTTTGCAGGGATTCCTGCTCCTCTGCTCAGAGAGAATGATCGGTGACTGACACTGCTGCGGGCTCCAGAAACTCTCAGGCCATGGGGCTGCAACACGTTCCGGGGGGCTCACAGGGGACTTCCCTTCTGGGATACTCCAGGTTCAAGGGTCCAAGGCTTGCCTGGCCCACAGGCCCCTACTGGTTCAGCCAGGCATTAAGTGTACATAAGGCATGTGGTCAGTCTCTCCAGCCCATCCAGGGCTGGCTTCAGCTGCCCTGGGAGCTCTTGGGAACCAAGTTCCCCCAGGGAAAAGCGACCTCCTGGGCCACACTTAAAGCTTAGAAGTCCAAGTCCAGTGTAACAGTCAAACCCCAAAAAGTCCACCACCTAGCCACCTGCCAGGGAGCAGCTTCGAGGGTGAGGGATGTCTGCTCTTCACCAAGGCACAGGTCCAGCCAAATCCTTTAAGGCTGGATCCAAGCCCCTGGCTGATCTCAGGCAGGCACGTCCTCTCCAAAAGAGGGGTGGCTCCCAGTCTCAAAAGAGGAGGCACGGAGGGCAGGCTCTGGACAAAGTCAGGCTTCCCCTTGCCTTCAGGGCACTTGAAGCCAGCCCTCCAACCACCATATCTGGGCATCTGTGAATGGTCCTGTCCTGGCCCCAGGAGGTCTCTCTGGCTCCCTCTGTGGTAAGTGAGGGCTGACCAGCAGGAACAGCAACTCCAGTGTGAGGACTTCCAGTGTCACCAGTCACGGGGAGGGCCAAGCCCAGCCCAGTGTCGCCGAGGGAATACCAGCAAACGGCAGAGAGCTGGCGGGCGGCAGGCTCCAGTGTAACACCATTGCATCCAGTGTGGAAGGGGCACCTGGGGAGTTCCGGGCCCTGGTGTGGTGCTGCCTTGGAGAAGGCAGCTCAGTCACACAGGCGGTAAAAGTGGAAGTAGTAGTCTGTGGCTGGCCGGACCAGGGCCTCCATGCTGCAGTTGGCCTGACCCTGGATGGAAGGGCAGTGGGAACGGGTGAGGCGGCTCTAGGGGTGCAGGGCAGGAGGCACTCCCCCTCCTGCTGTCACCTGACACTGTGCCCCAGGCCTGCCATGTGCTCTGCAAATGCCCCTATTACTCCCGCAAGCCCCACACTCATACAAGTGCCTCAGGGGCAGACAGGGTGCCTGTGCTCACCAGCAGTGCCACCCGGAAGTGGTAGGTGAATTCACGGAAGGACAGGATGGTTACTGGCCACTGGTGGGAAGTGCCCTGGGGAGAGAGGGGAGAGAGGGGTCAAGGCAGCCCTCTGCACATCCCGGCCAGCATCCCCCTTGCCATAGCCATTGCAGCCCCAGGCTCCGCAGCAAGCTTTATGAAGGGTAAAAGCAGAGAGCCCTGCAAGGACATCAGAGGAGTGTTCCGCTTTGGAGGGCAAGGGCAGCCACCCTCCACAGCAGAGCACAGACTCTGCCAGGTGCCGACCTACAAGTCCACATCTGCCCTCCTCTGGCCCCTCCCTTCTCTCTTGCCACCTTCCTTCTTACCCATAAAGCTCTGGACACATCAAAGTGTTTCATTCAGCCCATCTTCACTACAACCCCATAAGGTGATACTGCTTAAAGATGAGAAACTGAGTTACTTGCCAAAAATCACTCGGTGGACATGTGGCAGATCCTGGGATCCAAGCCCAGCCTGCTGCGCTCTCCAAGCAGGGTGAGGCTTGGCTGCTGGCAGCTTGCCCATCTCCTACCTGAGGCTTTGGCTTGGCCTTCCTAATATGTGGGTTCAGGCCTAAGCTCCATGTCTAATGAGCGTGTGGCTGGGCCCTCCCTCCACTCCAGTGCTCTCTCCTCCCTGCGTGGCCACAGGCTCTAGCCTCTAGTGGCTCTCACCCATTCCAAACCCTATCAGGTTTCTTTGTGCATGTCTTTCTCCCAGCTAGAGAGTACATTCTTGGAAGGCAAGGCCTGTGTCTACTCCACTGTCTCCCATAGCTGGGCCCAGTGCAGGACCTAGGCCAGAGGAGGCCCCATTAAATATTTGTTGAATAAACACATGAATGGGTGAGAAGAAATTCCCTTAACTTGTGCTGAGAGCCACAGCTTTGGGTTCCACGGCCAGGGAGGAGCTGGACAGTGACAAGAGTTTCAGCCATTTGGTTCCCAAAGCAGGAGGTAGTCCTCTACATGCAGGCAAGGGATCTAACAAAATTGCAGATGGAATGGTGCTACTTCCCCAGCATGAGCTTGGGGCCCAGGCTCCTTCCTGTCTCCCCGGACTCAGCCCTCTCCACGTTTCCAGCTCTGCCAGCATGCCACACTCTCCCGGCCTCCAGATATGTGCACATGCCATTCTACTCCTGGGACACTGTCCCCTTTCCCATCTCCGGCTGACCCCAAGTCATCCTTTGGGCCCCAGGTTGGTCCTGTGAGACTTGCCTTCCCTGGGGCTCTGTCAGGGCAGGGCTGGGGATGGGACAGGGCAGGGATAGGGCTGGGGAGGCTCAGCAGTGAGCGGCGCACACACACTCCCCTCCCTGGGGCACAGCGGTCCAGGCTCTGACGTGTGTGTGCTTGGTGGAGGTGCCTTCACACCGACTCCCGGCTTGGTGAGGCGGCTCTAGGGGTGCAGGGCAGGAGGCACTCCCCCTCCTGCTGTCACCTGACACTGTGCCCCAGGCCTGCCATGTGCTCTGCAAATGCCCCTATTACTCCCGCAAGCCCCACACTCATACAAGTGCCTCAGGGGCAGACAGGGTGCCTGTGCTCACCAGCAGTGCCACCCGGAAGTGGTAGGTGAATTCACGGAAGGACAGGATGGTTACTGGCCACTGGTGGGAAGTGCCCTGGGGAGAGAGGGGAGAGAGGGGTCAAGGCAGCCCTCTGCACATCCCGGCCAGCATCCCCCTTGCCATAGCCATTGCAGCCCCAGGCTCCGCAGCAAGCTTTATGAAGGGTAAAAGCAGAGAGCCCTGCAAGGACATCAGAGGAGTGTTCCGCTTTGGAGGGCAAGGGCAGCCACCCTCCACAGCAGAGCACAGACTCTGCCAGGTGCCGACCTACAAGTCCACATCTGCCCTCCTCTGGCCCCTCCCTTCTCTCTTGCCACCTTCCTTCTTACCCATAAAGCTCTGGACACATCAAAGTGTTTCATTCAGCCCATCTTCACTACAACCCCATAAGGTGATACTGCTTAAAGATGAGAAACTGAGTTACTTGCCAAAAATCACTCGGTGGACATGTGGCAGATCCTGGGATCCAAGCCCAGCCTGCTGCGCTCTCCAAGCAGGGTGAGGCTTGGCTGCTGGCAGCTTGCCCATCTCCTACCTGAGGCTTTGGCTTGGCCTTCCTAATATGTGGGTTCAGGCCTAAGCTCCATGTCTAATGAGCGTGTGGCTGGGCCCTCCCTCCACTCCAGTGCTCTCTCCTCCCTGCGTGGCCACAGGCTCTAGCCTCTAGTGGCTCTCACCCATTCCAAACCCTATCAGGTTTCTTTGTGCATGTCTTTCTCCCAGCTAGAGAGTACATTCTTGGAAGGCAAGGCCTGTGTCTACTCCACTGTCTCCCATAGCTGGGCCCAGTGCAGGACCTAGGCCAGAGGAGGCCCCATTAAATATTTGTTGAATAAACACATGAATGGGTGAGAAGAAATTCCCTTAACTTGTGCTGAGAGCCACAGCTTTGGGTTCCACGGCCAGGGAGGAGCTGGACAGTGACAAGAGTTTCAGCCATTTGGTTCCCAAAGCAGGAGGTAGTCCTCTACATGCAGGCAAGGGATCTAACAAAATTGCAGATGGAATGGTGCTACTTCCCCAGCATGAGCTTGGGGCCCAGGCTCCTTCCTGTCTCCCCGGACTCAGCCCTCTCCACGTTTCCAGCTCTGCCAGCATGCCACACTCTCCCGGCCTCCAGATATGTGCACATGCCATTCTACTCCTGGGACACTGTCCCCTTTCCCATCTCCGGCTGACCCCAAGTCATCCTTTGGGCCCCAGGTTGGTCCTGTGAGACTTGCCTTCCCTGGGGCTCTGTCAGGGCAGGGCTGGGGATGGGACAGGGCAGGGATAGGGCTGGGGAGGCTCAGCAGTGAGCGGCGCACACACACTCCCCTCCCTGGGGCACAGCGGTCCAGGCTCTGACGTGTGTGTGCTTGGTGGAGGTGCCTTCACACCGACTCCCGGCTTCCTCTCCGGACCCATTTGGAGGCCCAGTTGCGCCAGGGGAGAGGAAGCTCAGGGGTCTGGCTGGCCCACAGCTTCCCAGTTGCCCCCTACCTGGGTGTCCTGGTGGGGATGGAGGCTCTGTATGAAGACTCCCTCCTCACACGGCTTCTCCTGTGATATCAGGCTGCAGAGCACCACGGACACGGGAGACGAGGAGCTGGGGGGAAGGCCCAGTTAGGAAGGGAGTGGGGTTCTGTGTTCCTCAACCCCAGCCCCTCCCAGCCAGCCCTGCACTCCCTTTCTCCTCTCCCACCAAAACAAGCCACCCAGTCCTTACACAGCCTGAAAATCATGCCTAACAGTCAAGATCCTAGACAGCGGCAAGCCCTTTCCCACCTACCATCCTTCAGTCTTCACACCCCTGTGAGGAGGCAGCCCATTTTACAGATGAGCTGAAGCCCAGAGATGGCCAGGGTGGTACCGCCAGTTAAGCACGCACGGAGCAGGCAGCATTGAGTCCCTCCTCAGTGCCCCTCCCCAGGTTGCCCAGGACCACTGTGTCTCCCCACCACCCCTCCTCCGCCAGCACTCACTTCATCTGCAGGGTCAGGCTGAGGTGCAGTGGGGTGCCGCTGCTCACAGGGATGTGGTAGGTGACATTTCCAGGCCTGAAAGGGCAAACCTGGCTCCTTAGCCCAAGGCTGCCCTCCTGAAGCCCCCCTCCATCAACTCCGTAGCCCCCTGTCTGTACTGGAGCCCTGCAGGGGCATGGGAAGGGGCTGCCCCACCTGGTGGAGAGGTTCCTCCCTGAGGGGGCAGCATCCAAGCATCCGTACAGGTACACGTTTTACTGTGCTTCACAGCACATTTTTTACAAATTGAAGTTGTGGCAACCCTGCATCCATCAAATCTATCAGCGCTTTTCTTCAAACTACATTTGCTCACTTACTGTCTCTGTCACAAGTATTTTGGTAATTTTTGGAATATTTCAAATTTTCTATTTGTTATGGTTTTTCTGACCAGTGGTGTTGGATGTTACTACTGTAATTGTTCTGGGTCTCCTTAAATTGCACCCTTAAAGAACAGCAAACTTAACCGATTAATGTGTTTTGATTGCTCCACCTACGGACTGTTGCCCCACCTCTCTCCCTCTCTTCAGACCTCCCTGTTCCCTGAGACACAGCAATACTCACATAAGGCCAATTAATAACCCTCTGATGGCCTCTATAAGTGTTGAAGTGAAAGGAAGACTCACATGTCTCTCGTTTTAAATCAAAAGCTGGAAATGATTAGGCTTAGTAAGGAAGGCATGCAGATAAGCTGAGGGCTAAGCTTCCTGTGCTAAATAGTTAACCAAATTGTGAATGCAAATAAAAAGTTCTTGAAGGAAATTAAAAGTGCTACTCCAGTGAACACATGGATGGTAAGGAAGTGAAGCGTATTTCTAAATCTCTTGTTGCTGATACGGAGAAAGTTTAGAAAACCAAGTCAGCCACAGCTTTCCCTTAAGCCAAGCCTAATCCAGAGCAAGGCTCCACCTCTCTTCAGTTCTCTGAAGGCTGTGAGAGAAAGCTACCGAAGAGAAGCTGGAAGCCGGCAGGGGTTGGCTCATGAGGCTTTAGGAAAGAAGCCCTCTCCACAACGCCAAAGTGCAGGTGGAGCAGCAAGTGCTGATGAAGATGCCGAAACAAGTGTCCCAGGAGATCCAGCTAAGGTGACTAATGGAAGGGCCTACACAAAGCAACAGTGGAGGTATAACAACTTTATATTGGAAGAATATGCCATGTAGGACTTTCACAGCTAGAGAAGAGAATGCCTGGCTTCAAAGCTTCAAAGGACAGGCTGACTTTCTCGGTAGTGCCTAATGCAGCTGATGATTTTAAGTTGAAGCTAGTGTTCATTCACCGTTCTGAAAAGGCTAGGGCCCTTGAGGGTTATGCTAAACCTACTCTGTGCTCTCTAAACGGAACAACAAAGCTTGTGTGACAGCACATCTGTTTACAGCATGGTTTCCTGAACATTTGAAGCCCTCTGTTGAAACCTATTGCTCAGAAAAAAAGATTATTTTCAAAATAGTGTTACCGCTCATTGATAATGTGTCTGGTCACCCAAGAGCTCTGATGGAGATGGACAAGGAGATTAATGATGTTTTCGTGTCCAATACAAATCCACTCTGCAGCCCATGGATTCATTTCAACTTTCATGTCTTATTACTGAAGTAATACATTCCATAAGGCTATAGCTGCCATAAGTAGTGATTCCTCTGATGGATCTGGGTAAAGTAAATTGAAAACCCTCTGGGTATTCCAAATGCCATTAAGAACGTCCACGATTCATGGGAAGAGGTAAAAATATCAACATTAACAGGAGTGTGGAAGAAGTTGACTCCAACCCTCATGGATGACTTGGAGGGTCTCAAGACTTCAAATGAGGAACTCACTGCAGATGTGGCGGAAATAGCAAGAGAACTATGATTAGAAGTGGAGCCTGAAGATGTGACTGAATTGCCATCATCTCATGATAAGACTTGAATAGATAAGCAGCTGCTTCTTAGGCATGTGAAAATAAAGTGGCTTCTTGAGATGGAATCTCCTCCTGATGAAGATGCTGTGAAGATGGTTGAAATGACAATAAAGGATTTAGAATAGCCCCTAAACTTGTTGATATAGCAGGAGCAGGGTTTGAGATGACTGACTCCAATCTGAAAGATGTTTTCCTGTGGGGTAAAATGCTATCAAACAGCATCACATGCTGCAGAGAAATTTTTTGTGAAAGGAAGAGACAATGGAAACAGAAGACTTCATTGTTGTCTTATTTTAGGAAATTGCCACAGCCAATCCAGCCTTCAGCAGCCACCCCCCTGATCAGTCAGCAGCCATCAACATTGAGGCAAGACCCTCCACCAGCAAAAAGATAACTTGGTGAAAGCTCAGATAATGGCTAGCATTTTTTAGCAATAAAGTATTTTTGATTAAGGTAAGTACATTGGCTTTTTTAGACATAACATTGCACACTTAATACAATATAGTATAGTGTAAACATAACTTTTATATGCACTGGGAAAACAAATTCATTTGACTTGCTTTATCACAATATTCACTTAATTGTGGTGTTCTGGAATCAAACCCACAAATCTCTGAGGTTTGCCTGTACTACTTGGGCACATGTCACCTGAGAATCTGTCCTTGGGATGGAGAGAGGGAGCCAAGCCCACCTGCAGGTGTCCCCTGGAACGCAGTAATGGGAGGTGATGGGCATCGAATTCTCCAGCACCTGGATGGAGGTCAGGGAGGGCACTGGGTCTGCAAGGAGAGAGGCTGTTGGGGCAGGGAGGGTGGGTGACAAGGCAGGGCACAAATGAGAAGCAACCAAGGCTTGCCTTCCCAGACTTGGATCAGTCACTCACATCTTAGTATGAATAAGTTTCAGGTTATTCTTTGCAGACCCCCACAATGGCTGGGGTCACACCACCCTCTTCCCCAGCAGCACTGGGACTAGCCAGTTCCCATGAGTCTGAGGTCTGTCTCCTTGACAACCAGAACATCCAGGAGCAGGGATGGGTCTTCCCCATCCTTTGTGTGTACAGAAGCTCACTCACAGGCCTCTGTTCCTAATTGCACACGTCTCTTTTCAATTCTGGGTTGAGCGACATCAAGTTGGTAGCTTGAAATCAGCTATGGTGGGAGTATTCACACCCACCAATCATGGCTTTTTTCCCCCAGAGAGCCAATAACAAACATCAACCAGCACAGCCTGTGTGAGGGCTGTGGCCCTCTCTGAAGGAACCTATCACAGACTGGCTGGCTGGGTGGGACTGAGTATCCCATGGGCTTGGGGAGACAGGCTTTTGTGGTTCATCTCAGCTCACCTACAGGCTTGCTACTGTGTGATCATCCCACCCAGGAAGGGAGAGCTAGGGCCACTAGCCATGGGCCTGGTACATTTTGAGCTCTATGAAACACAACCCAGGCACCCAGGGATCCCAGCAGGACCCAGAACACCCTCTGGGACCACAAGTAGCTATCAGATGTAGACAAGATGGAAGATGCCTTCCTGTTTCTCTGCTGGGCAAACTCCTATTATCTTTCAGAAACTCAGCTGCAGTGTCAGGTCCTCCAGGGACGCCTCTCCTGATCACTTCTGCCCTCAGCCTGAATCACTGCCCTCCCCAGTTTCCCAGCTGCCTGGTTGTCCCCTCAGAGCCCCCCTCACACTGTTTTTGTATCTGTGAGCTCTCTGGGGCACGGAAGCCTGTCTTCATCATGCCCAGAGCCATCATGTACAGAGCCAGCCGCACAGCAACAGCCCAGGAAACGGCTGCCTGGTGAGCATCAAGCCTGCGGGGTTTCCCCACCACTTTGAACTTCAATCTCTGCAAGCCTCAGTTTCTAAGCATTTTTTTTTACTTTGAGCCACAAAAGCCACCAAAGGAAAGTTGAATAAAAAGCCCAATATCTAGAGTGGAGCTGTCTGGTTGAAGCCAGGAAGACTCTTGTTCTCCTCTTAACACCCAAGGCAACCCGGAGGGCACCTCAGAGGAACCCAGTGAGCAGACAGAAAACTTCTGCAATAAAGGGTTCTCCAGCTTTGTTGAAACCCAAGGCTTGAGGTTGGAAACTTTTGAGGGATCCCATACAGCACTCCCTTGCCTCGGCATGATGACATAGGAGGCGGCAGGCCTGGGATCAAATTCCAGGTCTGCTGCTGACAAGCTGTACAACCCTGGGCTAGTCATTTTCCCTAAGTCTCCATTTCCTCATCTGCGGACAGCTTCCCTGTTTGCAGGAGTGTTGTGAGGATGAAGTTAAGCCATCTGTATAAGGCTTCTGGCCTGATTGCTGGTACTCAGTAATGCTCAGCAATGTCTACTGATTGGCAACTCTGCACTGGGTTGAAGTAGGCCAGGCCCGTGAGCCTTGCTGGGCTAGGCTGAGAGGCGTAGGCGCGTTGGGCAAGTACCTGTCTGGCCCCCGGCCTGAGTGTGCTGAGCAGGGCTCAGGCCGGGCTGCAGTGCCCTTCGGCGGGCCCGGCGATGGAGACCAAGGTCAGGGCTGCTTTTGGCTTTGCCCTGCACCCCAGGGAAGGGGACTACAAGGCTGGCCACGGGCACTGAGCTCTTTGGATGCTTGGAGTGGCTGATGCCATTGGCTGACAGGCCCCAGGACTTGGCTCTGATGTTGGTAACTGGCAGCAGGGCCATCTGACTGGGGCCTGTGGATAGAACCAGGAACAGGGTGAGAAGACAGAATCTGCCCAGCTGTCTCCAGGGCTGCACTGGACTCTGGGTGACTCCTGTCTATCTGTTGGTCCTTTTAGGGACCCCCCCATCTTTCTCCAGAGTCTCATTCTGGGCTCCCAGAGACCCTCCCACCAATGAGTCTTGGGATCTTTCTCTGGACTCATGTAAAACCTCCTCCCCCAAACCCTGGTCCTGAGATAGCCGTACCTGAGTGGTTGGTGGAGGAGCTAGGCCTGGGGCTGAGACCATGGCCAGGGTTAAAGCTGGGACCAAGATTAGGGCCAGTGGTAGGGCTGGGCATGGGTGAGGAGCAGCAGACGACTGGGCAGGGGTGACTGGAGCACAGGTCCAAGGAGCGGATGGCCGGACCTGGGGCTGAGCTGGTCAGGCTGGTGGTAACTGAGGAAGCCAGAGGCCATATGAGCCAGAGGGGGCAGCAGAGCCCCCAACCCAGAACACAGCCACCTCTCCCAAGTCCCATCCCTTCAGACCCACCCCAGGCACGCACCCAGCAACAAAGAGGGCTGTGTGCCTGGCAGCCCAGTGGTCACAGGGGACTGTCGGAGCTGAGTGGTCCCAAAGCTCTGGCTGGACCTGCTGGGGAAGGGTGAGCTGAGCTTAGAGGGGCTAGGAGAACCTGTGTAGAGAGGCCTGGGAATCCCGGAGAAGCAGGAGGGGCAGGACTAGGCAGACAGGGAAGGCAGACAGGAGGCAGGAAGAAGGGTGGCAGGAGCCGGAGGTAGAGGCAGAGGGCTTGGTCCAGACACGTACCATGGGCACATGGCCTCGCTCCCCCCAGGGTGCTGGGGCCGGAGCAGTGCCAGAAGACATGAAGTGGACACGGCAAAAGAGCTAAGGGGAGCAGAAATGAAAAGTGGGGGACAGGTGTGGGGGAGAAGAGAGAAGACACAGTCAGAGGTGGCCTAGGAGCTGACGGTGACAGTGGGCAGACAGAGCCCAGGATCCCACCGTGGCCCTCCTTTCCCCCATCCCCTCCATCCTGGGCCCCTCGGGTGCCCCCAGACTCTCAGACCCTGAGTAGGCCAGAGAGAAACACCAGCTTCAGCAAGAACTGGGAAATGGCTGCCCACTCCAGGAGACCTTCCCACCCACCTCTGTGAGCCCCCAGCAGGCTGAGAGCCTGCAGTGGAAACCCCCTTAGAGGTACCAGCCTCCATGGCTCCTCCAACCCACGGCTGCCCACCAAAGCCCCATAGAGCCCCGTGGCTTGGCCAGCAGCCAGGCCTCCAGAGACATACCCATCAGTTTCTACCAGGTCCTCCTCTGTGCGCAGGCTCAGAACATACAGTGTGGACATGGACACCACGCTGGGAGCCACAGAAAAGGGCCATTGTTAGAGCTGGAGCCACCGTCCAATGCATTCTTTCTGCAGCAGGGCCTGTGGGCCTTGGCCCCAGGGGCCAGGACCCTGAGCAATGCCTATAAATGTGTCTCCCCAGCCCCAGGAGGTCAATACTGAATGAGGCACCCACTTCCTTCCCCGAGACCTCAGCCACTTGATCTCCCAGGCTACATCTATCTCCTCTCCCAGGCCTGGGCCTGTGGGCAGCTGGCTTCCCCAGCCAGCCACCCCCAGAGCCTGGGGGACAAGTCACCTGAAGGCCATGACCACCACCAGGGCAATGATGGTTCCCTGCAGGAAGCGCTGGCTGATGCAGGCCTGGTCTGGGACCACAGAGGACGACTAGGGACCGAGAGGGAAAGAGGAAGAAGCAGAAAAGGCCCAGACTTAGGGAGCCCATGGTCTTACCCATGGTGGGCTCTGCTGGAGGTGGGGGTGCTAAGGGCTGCTCACTCTGCCAGGGTGCAGAGGGGGAGGAAGGAGAAACTGGGTTCTGCAGAGCTAGAGGTGGGGGGTAGGGAGCACTTGGAGTCAGTGACCCTGGAGAGGGACAAGCTAGAAAGGGAGGCCCCTGGCCCACTCTGCCTCCCACCGCTGCCCACCCTCACCTTGCTGGTCACCTTGGGGGGCCTCTTCTTGTGGGGTACACTGCCTGCCCGGCTGAAGTGGCTCCCTGCATGGCTGCAGCAAGACAGCCAGGGTCAGAGGTGCCTCTGGAAGGGGGTCTTGCCCCCTCCCCCACCCCCTGCCCCTACCTGAAAGCGCCCGAGCTGCCAGTGGACTTGAGGCTGTCCAGTCGCCGCAGTTTGGCCAGCTTGTGGCTCCAGCGCTCCAGCTCATCAATGCGCGTCTCCAGGTTGTCTGTCAGCTTGCACAGCTCCTTCACAGCACCCACATTCTCCATGAAGATGCGCTCCTGCCGTGGGCCGTGGGCCAGTGTTGAGGGCACAGTCAGCGCCTCGATGCCCCAGGCTACAGCCTCAGCAGGGAGCAGGAGGGGAGCCCGCTAACCACAGCCACGTGGAGGCCCATGAAGCCTCCCTGCCCAGGCCAGCCTCAGCTCCATGGTTCCCTGTGCCTCCCTCCAAACAGCATCCCGAACTCCTTACCTTTGTTTGGCCATCCTCTACCGCCACCCGGCCCTGTCCCCCATCAGACCCCATGCCTCTCAGAGGCTCCCACCCTCTGATCTCCCCACTCTGATGAACTTGGTGCCTCAGACCTCAGCACTTTACTGTTTAGTCTCAGCCAAAACCTATTACTACATGCTGCTTGGTGCCCTGCCTCATACCAGGTAAATTACAAACATCATCCTAACCATAAACCATGTGTTTAAGCTGCGCAATAACCACGTGAGAATGTCTTACTTACCCTCCTTTGCAGGGGAGGAAAATGACCCTCCCAGAGGTTCCTCTTGCCCTGTCCACATAGCCATAGAGTGGCCAGGTTCCCAGCTCCCACCTGAACGCCGAGCCCTCCCCTCCCCTCCCATCCCCGTGGGGGTGGAAACGGGCTCTGGGGGCAGCATGAGAGAGGACTGGGCTGCCCTTGCCTTCTGCACTACCGTGGCCCTGCCCCCTAGAGGAGATGAATGCCCCCCAGCTGGCCCACCCCTCTCTCCCTGGGCTCCCTCCAGTTCCCCCACCGCGCAGACCTTGTTCACCACCAGGAAGTTCTCTATGGTTTTCCCATTGGCGAAGACCACGTCTCCTGTGTCCTTCACAGCCTCAGGCAGGATCTCCTTCACCTCCTGGGCAATGACACCTGGGGAGGGACATGCGAAGTGTGGGGAAGGGGTCTGCCCCAACACCGTAAACTAAGGAGGGCTCTGGGACTGGGAAGAGCAAAATTCTGGGGGTGAGAGAATTTGATCCAAGTATCCTTGGGGCAGGAGGCTCCCACAGACAAGTGTTCACAGGGTCGCAGTTCCAGGGCTCAATGCACGGGGTCCCCCGGGCTGCCGATAGGCGTTGATTCCTGGGAGTAAAGATCTCTAGGGAAGGGGAAAGGGATACCCAAGGATGAAGGCAGGATTCATCTAGGGGGCCAAGGGACAAGGATCTGGGGCCCATGGTTCCCCGACATCCAGTGTCAAGGGGTGAGGTACCCAAGACCTGGAGAGGCGCAATTTTCCAGGGGCTGAGGGGCGGAACCTCCAGGGTGCAGTTCCAGGAGTCCAGGGGAGGGGTTCCTGGCAGTAGGGCTTCCAGAGGACAGGAGCAGAATCGCCAGAGAACAGGGGCAGAATTGCCAGAGAACAGGAGTTGGGGTCACTGAGGGTGGAAGTTACTGGGTTCCCTGGACCCCAGCCCCAGCCGGCGCATCCTGTTCCTACCTGTTTCTGGGGCTGCAGCCTCGATGCCGGCGGTGGCTGCGAACTCGGGCTTGTATCTGTAATGCACCAGCCGCATGCGCGATATCCTCTTCAGCTGCTCTGTAGTGTCCACCTGCGAGGGAGCCAGGGCCGAGTGTGAACCCGCCCCTGCTGGGCTCCTCCGAAAAGGCCCCGGAGCTCAGGAGGGGGCAGCCCACAGACTGCAGCATGGAGGAGAGATCCTCTGCCGTCCGGGTCGAGTGGGCGGGCCTACCTCCCAGTCCTGCTTCCCAGCAGCCCTGCCCTTCCACCTGGGCCCGCCCCCTCCACGAGCGCCCCCCACCCCTCGCAGCCCACCACCTCGCAGCTCTGCTCTCCCCGCTCCACCTCCTGCACGTGCTCCTTGGCCCGCAGGTCCGAGGGGTGCATGAGCGAGCCCATGACCTTAACGTTGCCGTGTACGACCAGCGCCTCGTCAGGCCGGTCCGTGTTGATGCCCACGCGGCCGTGGTGGAAGACGGTATCGGGCACCTGTGCCCGCTGCCACAGCACGTCGCTGTCACTCTCAAACTGGCCTGGGTTGGAGGCCTAGCACAAATTGGGGTCGGATGAGTCCTGGGGTATGGGGGACCTGCAGCACCCTGGGAACGGGGGAAACCCCCACAGCTGACCCTCCAGCTCCAGCCCAGACTCCTCACCCCACATTATCGAACTGAAATTGTCCCTCCCACTCTGGTAACTTTCAGTCACTTAAGGGATCTCGGAAAGCTACAAGATCTTGTCCACCTGCACGCTTTACTGTGAAGGAGACACCGTGGCCCAGAGAGGGTGGGACCCTTGCCCAAGACCACACAGCCAGTGCCCAGAAGGATCAGCACTCTAGCTCCTGGTTCTCCAGTATGCTGGTATTTCTCTGGGTGCTGCCTCTCCCATCTCCGAGGAAGACTCCCCACCCCTGGGAGAAAGTGACCCTCACCCGCACAATGATGCGCTCTGAGATCTGGGCGGCCAGCGTGTAGTTCTGGTTCTGTGCATGGGCCTGGAGCGCCACCACCAGCATGAAGTACCTGGGGCACACAGGGATCTTAGAGGCACCCAAGGTCCTGCCCCACCTACCCCTGCCTCCCCACCACTCTTCCCAGATCAGATGAATAGTGCACAAAACTGCCCATTGAGGTCATCTCCAGCAGGCTCCCCGCACAATCCCGGGAGGCATTAACACATGCTACAGAGGAGGAACCTGAATCTCCACCAGGGGGCGGAAATGCCCCAGGGCCCACAGCTAGGAAGCCATCGAGGGGTTCCTTAATCCAGAAGCCAGGCTTCTGCTCTGCCAGTCTTGAATCAGTTAAGGCCCTCTGAGTCTCAGATCTGACGTCTGTAAAGTGGGTCAGTCTGTGGGACTCTGTGCTGCACAGGGTGGTATCTTCCTGTCCCTCATTCTCAGAAAAGGAGGTCCTACCTGGGCAGGGGTCCCACCTGCTCACCTCTGGTCGGGGTTGGGCTTGCCCTTCTTGCGCATGTTGTTGGCGGTAGTCTCACTGAAGTGCAACCGCCCCACAGTCACCTTCGTGACCTGCTCAGGGGGCAGATTGACCCTGCAGAGGAGGGGCAGGGTACTGAGGGGGTAAGGAAGGGGGCTGCGGAGAGCCAGGCTGCTGGAGGGCACCCGGGTCAGGAGTGAGGGAGGTAGACATTGTGGGTGCCTGCCTGGCCCCCCTCAGCTCCAGGGCCAGCCCTCCCAGGTACCACGCACATGGGGTCAGATACTCACGTGACAGGGTTGAAGGGCCGCTTGCTTCGGTCTGACTGCGACTGCTCGATGTTGATGGACTGGTTCAGAGCCTCCAGCTGGGGAGGAGCAGAGCCCAGTGGCACGTTAGGGCCCCGCTCCGCGCCTGCTCCTGCCCCCATCAGCCCCTCAGCCCAGGTTGGGAGCTCATGAGGAAACAGAGGTACCACTTCCCCACAAACCTAGGTGCCTTCTCATACTAGGCGTACACCCACATCACTCCCCACCTCTGAGCACCCACCCCAAACCAGACACCACCAACACCTAAGCCCACTCACTCTCAGACCCCCTCCCACACCCAATTTCCGTCCACCCCTCCATGAGCACTGGCCAAGCCATGCCCAGGCACCATGCCCGGCTCACGGTACTGAAGGAGACACACCTGACCGAGCCCCCAGGGAGTTCAGGGGCTTATGACTAACTGCCAGTGTGGTTGTACTGGGGGGAGAGGGAGGTGTCAAAGTGGAGGGGCCTCTGAGAGTACAGATGGGCCTGAGGGCAAGTGTCCACCAAGGACTGCAGCAGCGTGAACGGCGGAGGTCAAAGAGAAATCCGCAGGGAGGAGAGGGATGGAACGGGCATCCTGAGGGTGTCCCAGAGAAAGGGGGCTGCCGGAGGGAAGGCAGGAGCTATGAATGGGCACAAGCAGATGGCAGGGCTGGAGGGAGGGGCTGGATCCCCAAGGCCTCTGTGGGCTGAACCTGGAAGTTGGGCTTTACAGTGGGGCCTTGGAAGAATGGGGAGCCCGCCCATGTCCCGGATGGAACATGAGTAGGAGCTGGAGCGGAAGCTGCAGTGGACATTCAGACAAGAAGGGGTGGTCCAGAGGGAGGCAGGCGGAAGAGAGGAGGGGACCAGGTTAGGGGATGTCCCAGGAATGCAGGGCCTGTGTGTGCTGACAGGAGGGCGAGTGGGCCCCCATACCGATGGCTTGGGTAAAGAGGGCCCCAGAGAGGGAAGCCTGGGAGAAGGGCAAGTTCACAGGAAGTTCATTTGGGAAGGGCAGCTGGGGCAGCTAACAGAGGGGTCCAGACAAGGAGTCCTGCCTGGGGGCCCAGACTTGGGGGTCACAGGGTAGAGAAGGGAGCAGGCAGCATAAATGGCAAGAGGGCTGAAGAGCCTGACAGCTAAGGGGCAGGCAAGGTGAGAGAAGGCGGGAAAGGTGGGGTGGGCGGAGGCTGGACTTCACCGCGAGGAGTTTCCTCAGGACACCTCACTGCTCCCAAGCCTTCCTGGCCCGCCTGCCCTCGCCTCCTAGCCCAGCCTCCAAACCTGCCTTCACTCCATGCAGCTTCAGATAGAAGCAGTCGAGGGGCTTGAGGCCTTCAGGCGTCTTCACGTACTTGGGCTCTCCCAGCATGCCGATGTACACTGTCACCTGGAAGTGGTTCTTCTTCTGGCATACAAAGGCATCGTCGCCCACCGAGAAGTTGAAGCCCTTGTCAGCATCCACCCGGTAGGTGAGCATTGGCCTGGGGGCAGGTGCAGGTGCTCACCCGAGGCGCCCTGCTGGGCCTGGAGTGTCAGCTCCTCCCATATGCCTGTGCTCCAAAGCAGTTTCCTACCCCAGATCCCAGGAGCCTGAAACTGCTCACAGGGCCACCCCCACTCCTCAGAACTGGAGACTGAGTCTCCAGGAGAATCTGAACTTGGGTCCGCCAACTCCTCAGCTGATACTCTCTCCTCTACATGCCTGGGACCACCCCACCCTGATGATGGGGGACTTAGGGCAAGACCCTTGAGGCCCACCAGATGTGAGGGAACTTCTGAGGAAGGGGCTTGATGGCCCCCTCACCACTCTCGGCTCCTTCCCAGAATGTTGCCTGAAGCCCCCTCCCTCGCAGGAGATGGGGCGCAAGGGGATGCATCTGCAGAGCCTCACTGCGCCTGACAGCTGGTTGCCATGGAAACGGTGGAACCAGGCGCTGGCTCTGCGCTGGCCCAGCCCCTGCCCACCAACTTGCTCAAGCCCCCACTCGTCCTCATTCTGACTCCTCCATCTTCCTGGGTGGGGAGAGGGTCACTCTGGGCAGTCTGGACTCAGCCTCAGTCTACCCATCTGTTGCTGGTCAAGTGTTCCAAGTCTGGACCACTGGGGGACCTCCAGGTGGCAGGAGAGGGAGCAACTGTTGGCACACCCTCACCCAGGTCCCCAGGCACAAGCAGTGCCCCCGGATACCCAGGGCCTGCCTGGAGGAAGCTGGGCAGGGAGAATGTTCCCAAATTTGTGGGAAGAGGCCTTTGGCTAGTGTCTTCAGGCCTGGAGCTCACCACTTCTCCCTCCCAGGGCTCCACCCACCTGCCTGACCCCGGGGAACACCCGGGAAGTGCCTGAGCCACACTGGGGACCTCAGCTGCCAGCTTCCTGGCCTTGTGGCCTGGGGTGGACTGTGGCAGGACTGCCAGAGAAGCATGGAAATAAGTGAGGGGGTCCTCACCAGTTCATAAGGGCTGGACCCCAAAGACCTCCCCTAACCCTGGCAGGGCCTCAAGAGACCCTTCAGCCACCACAGCATTGGATCCCCCATCCCTGCGGTTTGTGGCTCGGAATCCCACATAGCCTGGGGCGCCTAGCCCCAGGAGGCTGGTCTTGGCCACCCTGCCCAGGCCCCACAATGTCCAAAGTGAGTTGATGGCAAGTGAAGCTCTCACTCCCCACTGGCCTGCAGCAGCAAGGGGAGTGGTCTCAGAGTGCTCCTGGCTGGGTCCCAGAGAGCTGAACCCACGTGGGTGGGTGTTGAGGAGAGCAAGGAATGCCCAGGCAGCCTGGGACCCACCCCGCCCCCACCCCACCCCCTCCAGGGAGAGGGCTGCTGGCAGGCCCTGCTGACACTCCACTTCCTGCTACCTTCCTGGAATGCAGGAGTGGGGGAGGCGCAGGGGCGGGGGCGGGGGGAGCCAGCCAACACCCAGACACCCACTTCTCCCGGACTTGGCCCCCACCGCCCCTCCCTGGCAGACACCACCTTCTTAAGGAGGCCTCGGGCTGGAGGAGTCAGTGATGCTGAGTGCCAGCCCAGCGCTGCCCTGAGCCTGTCTGCTTTTCAATAAACGGCACCATCTGTACCCAGTGTGCAACCAGGTCCTGCTTTAGGACCTTGATGCCAGGGCTCAGGGTCCCCGGATGGGTGACCGAGGGGTGGGGGTGGTACAGTTCACTCACAGCTCCTTGTAGTTCGCGTCATACAGTGTTGCCCACTTGTTCTGCTGATGCGGTTGCCACTTGATGGACTGGTAGTTGGGGTCCAGGTAGGAGCCACTGAGGCTATCATTGTCCTGCAGGAGACCTGAAGGGAGGGAACACCATGTAGGCCCCAGGCCCCCTCCCCAACTCACAGGGTTGGTCCCTGTGGGGCCCAGCAGGCCAGCCACGTACCTGGTGAGGGTGCACCTGGGGGGTGCCACGGCGGCGTCTGCACCCGGGCAATGCTGAGAGGCAAGGAGCCCGGGCCAGGTGACAGGGGGCCCTGGGGAGGCCAGGGTGGGGATGGGGCTCGAGCTGGGTGTGGGGGCAGGGCCATAGCAGTCCCAGGCTCCTGCTTGATCATTCCATTCAGCATCTGGGCATTGAGGGTGTTGGGGGGTGATTCAGAGTGCTTCCTCTTCTTGGAGGGGTGTGTGGGGAGCCTGGGGAGACACAGATGCATGCCATGGAGGGGCAGGCTCTTCCTGAGTGCCCTGCACTGGAAGCAGCACCCATCTGCTCTCCAGCTTGTGTTGGCAGGGTATGCCCAGCCCAGAGTATACCTCCTGTAGTAGGCCTGTGGGCTCTACCTCCTCGGGGCTCCCCCTTCGCTCTGTGTTGCCATTCCGTTTCTGTCACTCCTCCCTACCCCCGAGACTGTGGAAGCCAGGAGGGCAGAAGCCACAGCTGACTTGGTGTCCCCAACAGGCCCAGCACCTGGCCTGGGGCACAGAGTGCTCGGAATGGTTTGTGGGATGAATACGCCGGTCCCTTCCCTTGGGTCCTGTTCTGTGACACTCTTCATGGTGGGGGCTCTATGGAGGGTAGCTCCATGGTTAACAAGTCACAGAGGGCCTGGACCACAAAGGCTGGGCAGGAGAGCCTCTTGCGGAGGGGCCTAAAAACTTGGGGGACTGCACAGCACCTCTTCCCCTTCTGGTTTGCAAAAAGTTTCCGCAGTAGAATCTTCCCTTGACCCAAATCTCTGATAAAATCTCAGTGTGTGAAACAGATCAAAAGGCAATTCTGTAGGTTGGAGTCAGAGCAGGAGCTTAGATCTACGCCTAGAACCTCTTCAGGAACCCAAGACTCCATGAGACAGCAGGAAAGTCACTAGTGTCTGGGTAAGAGTACAGCCCCAGTTTGAATGCCTGGCTTTGCCCCTTCTGAGTTCTATGACCTGGCAAGCATTTCCCCACTCCTAGGAGCTTGTTTACCTATCTGCTCAGTGGGGGTGGCCATACCCACCAAATAAGGTAGGTGTGAGCACTTGGCCATGGCTGTTAAGTCCTCGAAGCGTTGCTGGGCACATACACATCATGTACATTTCCCATCTCCTGGGTTCAGAGCCTTCTGCCCTTCCTGGATTCATCCCTGTCCCCACTTCCATCTCTGTCCTGCCCGCTGCTGCCTTGACCACCCGTCAAGCCCATTTTCCAATCTCTGGGGGCAGTTGCACAAGGCTTACTCGGCTCCATGTTGCTGTAACAGCTGGTGTAGCATCTGGGGCTGCTGGGTGTGGTGGAGATCGGTGGGCACCAGCCCCTGCCCCAGGGCAGCATAGGGGGGCATCGGGGGCTCGGCCTTCATGTACAGGTCCCGCTGCAGGACAGGGTAGTGAGGTGGGGGTGGTGGGGGCGGTGGGGGGCCTGGCAGGTGGGCTGGAGGTGGGGGCGGGTGCTCCAGGCGGGAGGGCACTCCCACGTGGCACAGGGTGTCAGGGGTTATGGTGCGCAGGAGATGGGGGTCTGCGGGAAAGATGAGGGTGGGTATCAGATACCTACCTCATTCAGGTGTCTGGGCACTAGGTCTCCCCTGGGCAGGGTCTCTTGACTCCCAGCCCATTCTGAGCCAAGCCTGGCGGCTGCCCTCCACCAGCCCCGCATAGGAGGAGGGCTGGGCCGCCTAGAGGCTGGCCACAGAGGCCTCGGCAGCAAGACAAGACCCCCTCTTGAAAGGTGGGCAGCCTTTCACCCAACCCCAGCCAGCTGTTTCCCTCTGGCTGGGCCTGGCCCCGCTCCCTGGGGGAGGGCCTGCATCCCAAGTTTCTCCCCCAGCTCCTCTCAGGCTGGATCTTCCTGTGGGCCTTGGGAAGGAGGCTCCCGGGACCCCCAACATGGTCCTGTGCTGCCCTCTTCCCTCTGGCAGCCCCTCAGGAGGGCTCCCAGGGCCAGCCCCCCAGCTCCCTTTGTTCCCCAGGAGGCATTCCAGAGATGTTTTTGGTAAGATAAACAGAACTCTTGACCCCTCTCTGGGCTGTGGGGAGATGGCTGCCCATGATCCTTCCACCCTTGGCCACCTGGGGGCCACGGCACCCCTGAGTACCCTCCGAGGGGAGGTGGGCCTGGCCAGCCAGCGAGGCCTGTGCTCAGACTGCACCCAGTCTTCCCCAGCCCTCCACTTACCGCCGAAGGGCGCGTCCATGATGGCGCAGGCGGGCAGTGGGTGGCATCACCGGCAGGGACACTTGCTCAGAGGCAGGGCCAGGCTCACCACCCGCCCGTGGGGAAACAATAGCCAGCGCCAGGGAGTATTTGACCAGCGATAATCTGGGCCTGTTGGGCGGCCGCTGGCCCCCTCCCTCCCTTGCTCCCTCCCTCCCCCGATAAGGCCGCCCCAACCACTTGCCCAAACCCAGCGGGGGAGGGCGGTGCCCGCTGGACTCACCATTCACCTGCTGGGGGGAGTAGGCCTCAGAGCCTGAGTCTGGGGGAGAGTCCGGCAGTGTGCTGCAGGGGCAGGAGGCAGGGGCTGTTGGGGGGCAGCTGAACCCCTGCCTTCAAGCTGGGTAGCTCCTATGCTGGGAGGGGTCCCACAGACTCCAGAGGCTGGGGCACCATGGTCTCCTCCCTTGGGGGCCATTCTCTGTACCAGCCACCCTGAGGTGCCCAGGCCAGGGCTGAGCTGTAGATGGGCTGCCTTGGTTCCTGCCCAGCATGCCCTCAGACCTACTGGGCACTTGGGGCCCAGTAACTGCTGTCCCTGATGATGGCACAGGGATTCAAAGACTCCCTTCCCAGACCCAGAGGTCAGGCCTGCTCCTCTGTTTCTGTGCCCATTGAAGGCCCGCTCCTAGGAAACTCTAGGGGGTCCTAGGGGCCTGGGCCTGGTTAACTGGGGGGCTGCCCGCCATGGGCAGGTGTGGGCTGGGCAGGGACCCGCTCTGCCAGGCCTGGGTTTATTTTTTCTTGCAGGTTTTGGGAGGCTGCTGCCATGAGGGGGTCTGCTTCTTGGTCATCCTGGTCCCCGTGGTTGGAGAGGCTGCCCATCACCATGCTAAGGCAGCTGCCCAAGGCACCCCAATCATCACGGACTTGGCCCTGGGCTGGTTTCAGAGTCCCAGGGCTCCTCTGGACAAGCTGCCCACCCAACCCTGTAGGCTATGTGAGGATGACAGAAAAAAGTGACGGGGACTCAATCCTTCTGGGGCCCTCAAGGCCCCAAGGGCCACCCAGGACCTCTCCAGCTCCAAGTGCCCCATCCCCTACCTGCTCCCCGCACTTCCCTGACAGTGACCTTGGGTTTCCCTGGGTGTAAAGGTCCTTTACACCCTCCGGGCCCTGCAATCAAATGCCCGAGTCCCAGGACCTTGTGTTCTTTCCCCATAATTCCTCATGGTGCTCATAGTGCTGGAGTCAGTGATTTATTAATAACTCCCTCCCCAACTACATCACAGGATCGACGGCAGGAGGGATGTGTCTGTCCTGTTTACCACCTAGGACAGGGCTAGCAGGGGTGGGGGCAGTGAAAGGCCCTGGGTCCCTCTCTGCAGTGGCCTGGGCCCCAGGGTCTCTGTGTGACCCTTTCTGTCTCTGAGACATGGCTTTGGTGTGCCATTCGCATCCTCCTGTGAGGGACGGTGGAGCTTTGCTGGCAGGCTATGTGGCTTTGGGGTCCCCCAGGAGCTGGTTACAGGGGACTGTTGATGAGCTCTCACACACACGGGCATGGGGGTGGGGTACAGCAGCAGGCACCCAATGGGTACTTGTTCTGTGCTAGTTCTCAGGTCCCCAGGGCCTGTGGCTTAGGGACAGCCTCGTGGCCTCAGCTCACCCCTGGCACTCCAGTTCACCTCCACTGCCCTCCCAGGAAACAGCTACCATCCCGACTAGCACTTCCTCTGTGCTTCCTCCCCTTATTTCCACAACCACGTAGAGGATGAAGCATTTGGGGCTCACTTGACACCGAGGCCCTGACTGAGGTTCTGGGTTACCAGAAGGCTGGAACTGATGGAGCTGGGGCTGAAGCCAGGCTGTGTGTGGACAGTGTCATGTTCCCATCACTCTGTTTCTTCCATCCAGAGACAGGGCCCCTTGGCCCTTGTCCCAGGCTGGGAAACCCAGAACTTTCTCCAAGCTCCTCTGCAGAGCCCAGCAGACCTGTGTTTCCTGTCTGCCCCCTGAGCATGTGTCTGTGGGCTGCCCTGGGGTCTGGCTGGCCTGTGGCCACCTGCAACCTTTGGTCACAGCCAGTCTCAGGTTGAGCCCTGGGGTCAGGCTGCTGGTGTGGCATCCATGGGGAGAGGGGGGAAGGCCTGGAAGGCTGGCATGGGTAGGGGGACGTTCAGGTGCCACAGCTGCACCATAGCCGATTCCCTGTGGCCACGGCAAAGATCCCCTTCCACTTGCTCACGCACAGCCACTTGCATGCACGAGTGAGTAGCAGGGGCGGGCAATGGGGGTGCTCATGTCTGTGCAGCCTCATCTCACCACCTCTGTCCCCCCTCCACACAGCTCTTGGATTTTTCTAGCACTGATGTCAGCTCTCATCACTCCCTGCTCAGACCCCTCCACGGCTGCCCACTGCCTCAGAACAAGGCCATGAGTCCCTTCTCGGCCAGGCCCCAGTCCTACCCTCACTTACGGACCCCCAGGATAGTCCTATCACCACTGCCAGGCCTTGGCCAGCACCCTCCAGGCCCACGTTCACTGGCCCCACACCCAGTCTGTCCCCTGGACCCCTGCATCTTATCCTTGCCCCCTGCAAACCCTGCCCTCACTCACCCTGGGGCATAGGGAGCCTTGGGCTCTGCCTTGATGGGGGGCCCAGAGCTCCCCAGGAAGGGCTTGGGGGCAGCACCCATGCCATTGTTATTGTTGCAGTTGAGCGGGGAGCTGTAGCTCGGGGGTGGGAGGGGGCCGTGGCGCCCTGGGGAGGGTCCACCCCCAGGGGGGCTGAGGTGGTGGACCCCGCTGGAGCCAGGGATTGCTGACGGCCCGTGGGGGTAGGAGGCGGCACTGGACGGAGCAGCGATGTCAGGGAAGCAGCTGCGGAGAAGGGAGAAGCTCAGTGCCTGGCCAGACCCCAGCCCCTCCCTGGGGTCCCACCCCCAGGGCCCCAGGGCGCATGGAGAGTGCAGAGGGGTCAGCGGCTGGGAAAGGATTGAGGAGCAGCTTTCAGACTTGGGGCCGTGTCACACCTCCCAGGAGGAAGGTGGGGGCCAGAGGGGCTGGGGGTCCAAGGCTATGGGGCCACTCACAGGTCGGAGGCGTCCTCTTTGCTGATGTACTCCTCCAGGATGCTGGTGTCTATGTTGGAGGGCTCCAGGGCGCCATTGATGTCATGGCCTGCAGGAGAGGGGCAGATGTGAGCTAGAGGAGGGGTCCTAGGCCTCCTATTACCCTCAGGCTGGGCCCTCCAAAACATATGCCCCCAGGCCCCTCGCCAGCTGGGTAGCCAGGCGATGGGGGGAGAGTCCTTCACAGCCTCCAAGAGGCATTGATGATGCCTCCTTCGGGCCCACGGGGACGGAAGCCTGGAGTCTCCAAGGAGAAGGGCCCTAAGTGCAGATCTGGGACACACACGCTGCTTCCTGCCCCTCCAGACCTCTTTCTAGTTTTATGACATGGGCGAGTCCTATCCTCTCATCTTGGGTAAATGAGGTAAACATCCCCCTGACTTATGGGGTGCAGCGAGAGGCTAACAAGGTGCTCTATGAGGTGAGTGCCCCGTGGATGTCCACCACCTTCGATGCCTCGGCCCCAGACTTGGTGACTCTGTCCTGCTGTCCTCCAGGAGCCGTTTCCAGATGGTCTACCCAGGAGCCTGAGGCTTGGCGGGGCAGGACCACATATCCTGGGGGCCATGGGGCTAGGGGAGCCTTCTGCTACAGATGGAGAGGGAGTGGGATCAGAGTCGGTAGTGCCCAGCCCAGCCCAGCCCACCCGCACTGCCTTTGCCCTGTCCCCCCATAACAGGCCTGGGGGGCTTAGCCCTGGGTCTCCAGAGGAGACAGAGGCCTGGAGAGGTAAGGGCTAGGTCGCACTGGCCCACAGCAGGAAGTGATGGCCGCCAGGGTGCTGCTCCTCTGCCCGGCTTCTCCCGGGCCCTCCCCTGATGGAGGAGGCCAGTGCTCTTGGGCATCAGCAGGGGAGGAGAGGGGGAGGCACTGGCCTTTCCCCTCCTGGGGTCACCTTGCGGGGGGAGACGGAGGGTGGGGTGATAAGGGGGCTGACGTGGGAGATGCGTCAACCCTGATAATGAAGGACGGCCCCACCCACACTGCTGACCTGGGCTGGCCAGCCCCACTGAGGCAGGAGGCACCCCTCCCACAGGCCCCTGGGGCCTCAAGCCTGGGGTCTGCCTCTCATACCCCCTCCGCTGGTGAGCCCTGGGAACAGAGCTCAGACAGGTCTAGGAACACATCTTGGCTCACTTACTCCTTGCTGTGTGACCTTGGACAGGTCACAAACCCTCTCTGAGCCTCAGTTTCCTCATTAGTAAAATGGGAACATGAACAGCTAACAACTTCATAGGGTTGTTTTGAGTATGAAATAGTTAAGGTATGTAAGGTACCTGGCATACAGTGAGTGCTCAGCAAATGGAGTGGCTGTCCTTACTTCCCAGTCCCCAGAGCCCTGGGGTCCCCAGGAGCCCCTGGCCCAGGCCTTTCCCTGGCCCCAGACGGCATCTCAAGAATGCTGAGCCCCGCTTAGGTGATTAATGAGTGGCTAAGCCCTCCTAGGAGTCATGCGCTGCCCGGGACAGGCCCTCCTGCTGGCCCCCACCCCCAGCTCACCCAGTGGGAACAAGGGACACCCACCCAGCACTGCCAGAGGCTGTCCAGGGCCCTGCGTAGCCGGGGCAAGAGGAGCGTCTCGGGACCAGTGTGCACGCTGAGGCCCTGGACTCCCGTCTGCACTCTGGCTCCCGCCCTGTCATTCCCTGTTAACCATACATCTCACTTATATCGAGGGCCTACTATGTGCCAGGCACTTTTGGAGCCAAGTACATTAATAATCATCAGAGTTTATTAGATGCAAGGCACAGGCTATTTGTTTGCAGTGTGACACTTAATCCTCCCAATCTCTAATGGTGACAATGATGCCATGATGGCAGCAACAGCAGCTCATACTAAGTGTCTATCTGGTCCCAGCACTATTCTAAATGCTTGCGGGTTTACCTCCCAATCACCCCTACAGATTGGGTATTATTTGCATCATCCCCTTTGTTCAGAGAGGTCAAGTCTCTTGCCCGAGGCAACAAGGCAAGGAGGCTTCAGCCCAGGTGCACAGGCCTGACTCCAAGGGGGAAGGTGCGGTTGGTAGTCACTGAGCCTTCCTGGTCATGCTGGGCTGCCCCACCTGATAGG